AGACCAAAGGCTTTGTGGAATCTTGTTATTTGCCTGTAAGCCTTCCAAGTACAAGAAGGCATTAAGGTTTACAAAGCTTAAAATAACTGTCCTTTTGTTTGGATGTTTTTCCCCTTCATCTCTGCAGTTATGATTTACAGCAGACCCGGGTTCCTCCTGTTGGGTTGGAGTATAACTCCCATCATCCTCAGCCAGCATCATCTTTGGGTGTATCAACAGGGGATAATGGGCATTGTGACTTGAACACATCTAGAGAACTTCCAAGTTGGAGAAGACAGATTTGAACACAGAAAATTGATTGCAGGTGTCTGTTTAAATGCTCTGAGAACTTACCCTCCCACCCAAACAAACACGGGCAATTATGCATCAGTTTATACGCAGTGGCAGTCTGCTTCTGCTGGACCTTTTATGATGCATTTGCCCTGCCACCCTCACAGAATTTACAAGCGGGTCCCAATGTTGTCAACTTCCATTTGTGTCCCTCTTGTTTTTCCCCCACTCCACCTTCCATCTTTTTTCTTTTCTGGAGAAACAAATCTCCTGAGGAGGAAAGAATAATCTACTTTTGATCAGTAGTGCTAGCCAGCCTGCGTCTGGAAGCACCCACATGAAGAAGATACTCATCGGTAGATATAGAACTTTGGTATCAGCCCCTATTATGAGAATCTGCCCTCTCCACCAAGGCATCCCCTCTGTCCACCCCTAGCAATGCTGTCCTACTAGGCTCAACACTGAAGCGTCAGCTCCTTCTGAGACGAGAGTCCACAATGCAGGAGCACCCCCAGCAACGCTTTCCGTGGAGAGGGGACGCGGCACAGCCACGTCTGTGCGGGACGGAGAAGTTTGCTAACGCGAGGGTGGAGCGGGACCTCGCATTCGCCTGCGTAGCGACGAACGGGTCGCTTCCCCGCAGTCACGCAGGTCCCCTCCTCAGAGGCGACCATCCCTCCCCAGCTCTCACCTGGGTGGCGCATCTGCTGCTGCTTTACACGTTCTCTAGGCAGCAGCCAAAAGGAGGAACTCTGCAGCGCGGCAGAAGCCGAGGGCGTTTCGGCAGGCAACTCGCAGCGTCTCTTACCGCTATGCCAAAGCAGCGCGGCCGGCGGATTAGCCGCTCAGGTCCCGCGGCAGCTGCCCCAGCCCGCTCGTTTGGCGAGAGCCGGAACACGTGCAGGGGAAACCCAGACAGAGGGCTGCGCCCACACGCATGATGTCACGCAGGGGTTCCCGCGCCATCGCCTCTCGCTTGGTCCTTGGTGCTCATAGCATCACCGTGGAAGTAATAATTATGAACGCATCTATTTAAGCTAAGAGGGGAAATGTAAAATGTCGTCTTTTCTGAGGAACCCCCCCCCCTCATTCTATAAATCGCTTTCATCCACAAGGGATCTCAAGGCGTTGTAAAGAACACTAGAAACAAGTTCAGTATTCCAGGTTCAAAAAATACCCAGGATTTGCTGTTCGACCATCAAGCCAAAAATACAGCAGTTTAGTATAAAAACGACGTCTTTTTTTAAAAACTGAAATGTTAAAAAGTGTGGGCAAAAAGAGACGTTTCAGTTTGGTGGCAAAAGGAAAACGAAGTCTGTTACGCAGTTACTGAATACAATAAAGATATTAATACATTACACAAGTTTAAACTGTGTAATGTATAACACAGCTAGTACATAACAAAATGAGTTGCTTGTGATATTTGCATATTTTTGCACTTAGGGAAATGTGCTTGTTTAAAATACTCCACAATTTATTGCAACAGTGCTTCTTAAATTTCAATCTCCATTTCCATTCTGCTACTGCTGCTTCCTTACCTAATCGGGTTTTACTTCCAGCAACTTACTGCATTGCTATTCAGATCCATTTCAAAATATTGCTCCAGGCTCACAATAAACTGGAATGGCTTTTCAGTTTCTTCCACTATACAGAACAATTTTAGCTTATTAATCCCATTAGCCAAGGCAGTAGGGAGCTAGTCTCCATTTTCTTAAGGTGGAAGGTTCTATTCTGGTGGTGTCTGCACATGGATTATGACAGCAAAAATACACTTACTGGCAGATCTCATATGTGGTGTCACCCAAATCCAAGACAAAGCACAAATCCTTACAGACAGTGGAATCTTAGGAGATAATTATTCTATGCATAGTCCAGGAGTTTAAAAGTGCTCATTCTCCAGGAGGACTTGTAGTGGTGTAATGGTAAATGCAGGCACTTGTAGGGCAGTCCCTGTAGCCATGCCACAAAGAAATTCAACTTTGCAGTCAGCTGCATTGCTTATTACATTTCTGTATTTCACATTAGTTAAAGTTCTCTAGGTAGTTTACAAGATAAGCCTTAAAGCCATCAAATACCATCAACCAGCAAAGTATTGAATCAATATTATTCTGTTTAAAATAACACCAAAAAAGGCAAAATAAAAGCTAGCAGCAGTGCAAGTATGTATAAAACTGGAACACCATTTTAAGAACTGAAGGGCTAGAAAGTCTGAAAAAATATAATAATTTGACAGTTTAGAAAAAGAGACTTAAAACCACAGAATAAAAACAAACAAACACTGAAACAGCATATAAAATGGGGGTGAGGAAGAATCCACCACTGACTAGGAACACAATATTCCATTCCTTGAAGAGTACTCAAGGGACCATTGGATTCTTCGATGGAATTCACACAAAAGAACTCCTTTTAAGTCCATGTTCTCCTGTTCCAGCAACAACTCCCCATGTACTGCAAATCAAGCAGATTTGCATCATGTGTATAAAGCAGCAGGATGAAATCCACAAAGCTGCACCAGATAATAATGCTGTTCTCGGATCCATCCAGAAATATTTGGTTTCCTGCAGCCTGTTCTGAATGCATCTAAGACAATTATTATGATTATTATAATAATCCACACAGCCACACAAAGACATTCCAGGTGGCAGCCCGCACAGCCCACACTCACTTCAGGCAGTCATCTATTCATTCCAGGCAGAAATCAAGTTAGCCCAGTGCCACACAAATCATTACTAAACCATTGACCAACCCAATTGCTCCACAGACCAATTGCCACTAAGCTGCCCATAGTGCCAGCCTTGACTCAGAATTCAAGCACCAGCAATTATTTTACATGTGTGTGTGCACATCTTCTGATAGGGCTAACAGGCAATGACCAGAGCAGATTGTTTACTGGACTAAAAATAATTCCCTCCCACCCCCCCCAAAAAAAAACCTGGCAATTTTTTTAAAAGCAAGCAAACAGATAATACTACTGCCAGAAAGCTTTTTTTCTAAGCAAAACACACAAAAAGAGCAAGAAGGGCCAATCCATATGCCCAAGCAACCACACTGAATGATAAAATAGTCAGAGAAGTGAGATTAATACTATACGCAAGTTACCTGGGTGTAAGGCCAATTTATATCTGTCTGATGTGCATACGATAGCACTGAAAGGAATTATACAAGGGAATGAGCATTTAAAATTGCCAGAAACCAGAGGCAAAGAAGACACTGACCTCCAGCTGCACATGCTGCCCTTGAAGAAACATTTCTTTTTGAAACAGAGAGCAATTCTGTCACTCCCAGACATCATCTGGGGGCAATAGGATATTTCAGATTCCCATATCCAAGGTCAGAAAACAGAATTCTGACCATGGAGCTGGAAATCTGCAGTCTGATCCTCCCTGACACCCCCTTCCACAGCTGGCACAGAAAGAACTTCGTATGCCAGTTGCCTTCCCACAGTTGAGAGCACAACCTTGGACAGGAGGTAAAGGCACCATTCCAGCGAGCCGGAAGGGGAGGAGACTGTAGGGACCAGGATACCTGCAGCCTAGGTCTTCTACAGCATCCTTCTCTTCCCCCTTCCAAGCTCCCAGTTAGATAGCAGACAACAGCCATCTAAACTAAAAATGTAGAGCAGGTGGTGTGCATCCCTTGCTCCTTCCACTCCACGTGTTGCTTGTAAGTTTCCGAGCTCTGGGGCTTACAAGCATCAAAGGAACAACTGATAGGAACGCCCCCTAACAGACACTACTACTATGCATAAGGAAACTGTTGTATGTACAGAAATCATAGTGTTATGCTGATCATAAGCATTTTCAAAATGGTCCATGGTACAAAAATATAATGTACAGCTTTGGGTCCGTCTGGATTCCCAATCAATTATTCAGTGATTTTCTGGCTTTTATGCAGTTCTCCCTGTCCCATCCCCTTCTAAAAGGCTTAGATGCTTTACCTATGGCTTAATTACTATCAATAAGTGTTCCAAGCTAACATCTCTCCAAACAGGAAATATATTTGCTTTTTGCTGAGCCCACTTTACCTTTGGCCCAATACTTATCACTCATGGGCAGCCCATGCAAACTTCAACTGTCAGGCTCAAAGTGGTTCACCACCCTGGCCTTACAACAGCCCTTGCAGGTAGGCTGGAACACAAATTAACAACTCCTCAGCAGAGCTTTAATAAGGGATTCTGTGAACAGTAGAATTTGATGCTAGTCTATCAGGATGTTTGCTCTAAGGGCATAGATCCTGGTCTTCCCAAAAGGAATGAAAGCTCTTCCTTGCATGGGCACAAAACAGCTGAGGCCAGCCTCGAGCCCGTCCTTCAAGTGCAAAGCGAGACAATAATGTACCCAAGGTCCTATTGCACGCCTGCTGTTTCATGACTGAAAGGTCTGCAGCAGCAGAACTGTCCATTCCCGTCCATCTCCCAGAGAGGCTCCACCCATCATGAGCCGGACCCCTCCTGATTGGCTGTACCCTAAACCTCCACAAATTAGGAAAAGGCTTATTGCTTTTATGAGGGAATGCGGGAGGGGAGGAACTTCTCCTCAGAGGAGAATTTGGTTTATTCGGTTTAGACAGAACACTGAGGGGAACTAGGTAAACAGAACAGTGAGGGGTGAGTCACACAAATGGGCATAAGATAGACATTAGCTATGGACATGAGTATTTACAAATAGATTTGAATTTGTTTGTACATATTTAGTATCTATTGCACTTTTCTCTATAGTTATTGGTATATTCCTTTAATACCACAACCATTCAAAAATTATACTGTGGTGGGGTTTCCCTCATCTTGCTTATTAACTTTTGAGCTCAATAATTCCTTACATTGAGCTCACCTTCCTTCCTCAGTCATTATTGAAAGATTTGTTTTCATCATACCTCCACTTTTATAGAAATATTTAATTTCAGTTTTATTTCCTTTTATGTAACAGCCTTATTCTGAGCTCTGTACGTTTAAAACTCAGCACACACACCAGAGTTACTAAATTGTGGCCAATATGTTCATGATCAGGTATAATCAGTTTTAAGCTCTGTATACTTAACTGGATTGTAGATTGGGCTATCTACTATAGAGATTATTTCTAGCATTTGTATTAAACCATTAATTAAAATAGTTAAGTAACATAATGTAAAAAGGTTCAGAAGCTTCTCTCTCTCCCATTCTTAAAGGTAGCTATGTCTAATCAGGAATTTCAGCTCCAGGAATCAGAGAATGAGCAAAATAAACAAGATGGTCTATTCTTCACTAACTTAGAAAATAATAGATTAAATGATAATCCAACAAGGTAACTTTTCAATTTTAGAATTCTGACAGTTTAAGCAATGTGAACAAATTGTATATGGTTATCAATGGTGGAAACATTTTATAAAGAATTTTTCTGGAGACTAACAGCATAAAGGTTTACCAAAAGTGTTTCTTTTACTCCTAGTGTGGGAGCATGAAGCACCTGGCAACAGCCACACCTATTGTGCCTGGTAGGATGTATCGCTTATAGCTGCCCTTTAAACTACTTCCAGATAAGGCTTTTGTCTGCAATTTTCTTACCTAATACACATAATTTTATAGGAGGATCATCTTCAGCTTGTAACCTTCTATCATTTTTTTCCTTACAAAACAAGAAAAAACAGCATAGCTACATGGTATTTTTAAATTGGTAGCTCTAGAAGCCCTCTATCTGGAAGCATCCTTAGTTATAAAGCCGTTTGAGATTGTAGTTTTACCTCCATTGGTAGCATATGCCTTGTACTAGGGCCACACCCACTGGGACATGGAAATCTGCTGTACATGGAGTCATATTGTTGTACCATCTTGCTCAGTATTTTGTACATGCTTGACCTGGAAGTGATTCTCCAGGGCTTCTGACAGAAACGGTTTCCAAACCCTCTCTATAGGTGACACAGATTGAATTTGGGACCAGTTGCATTCAAGGCATGTTCTCTGTCACTGAACCCTTCCTACTCTGTATCCTTCCTTTTTAAACTATTTCCGCAGTGAGAAGTTATCCTGTGATAGCACCAGTTTGAGCATACCTGTATACACAGAGAAAAGGTAGAACTGGGAATGATAGAGTTCCTATCTAAGCTCCCAAACCATATTTCACATCTTGCAGGACAGTCACAAGACACTGGGATATGAACAGAATACTGAACTTTTAACGGCAACCCCACTCCCTGGAAAACTAATATCTATGATACTTTTGAGTTCAAAGACAAAAATGAAGACCTTTCAAACATAGATTTACATATTTCTCAACATATAGGAAAGAATCTCCAAACACACCTCTTCCTAGTTCAAATGCAAGTGGAGGAGGTTCAGACAAGAAATCCTCAAGTTATTTCATAGCTCTGGATTCAACTATTGAAAATCTGCAGGAAAGAACCCAGCAACTAATTGATAAAATTAATGAGAACAGGAAGAAAGACCATGTGCTCATGAATAGTTTCAAAGAGAGCCTTTTGATGAAGGTAATGCAATGCAGAAATTATAAGAGATTAGGAAGAATTAAGCTCATTCTTTCAAATTAGTAGAAATGTATTTGCTAGCCCCAACAAAATGTTACCAGCCTACATGCAGCACTTAAGATTCATAAATTGTTAGAACAGAACAGACACAGGATTGCACTCAATGCAACTGATTCTTCCCAGATGAAGTGCTGGTTGAAATGGTATCTTTACATTATGGTCCCCCTTCCATGTCATTGTCTAATCTGTTTCCGTGCAATATTAGTAACAGCTGAAAGTTACACATACAAACTGCCTAATCCACAAATATTTGTGTATACCTTAAAGGACTCAAGAGTGTTTCTTTTCTGGATGTAGCATTGCCATAACCTTGTAGTCCTGACTCGTTACAGCCCAATTTTATGGTCCAATAAAGCTAGCTGCACCTTTGCTTGCCCTAGTGTAAGCCAGTCAGTACCCTATATGCAGGCAGTAGCAACAAACCACAATTTTATTAGCAGTATTATATGCAGCATGATCACTGTATCAATACCTGTAACAATGCTTTTACATTCTCACCTAGTAATTGCCACTCCTTTACCCCACCAGTACTGTAACAACCATTCAACTGATGGGTGAATCTGACTACTTAAAAGTAATTGTCACTTAATCCTTAGCTATTCATAGGTGGACACATTGGCAGTGTTAGGAACCAAAAGTAAGTAAGGTCTTTCAGTTCAAGGGAAGCCCATTAGGAAGGAAGATTTTTCATCTTCTTTAATGACTGATATTTCTTTCATTTTCTCCACCAAAAAGGTTTCAAGCTTGGCAGAAAAGTTGGAGGAAAGGGTATTTCCTGTTTATGACCACAACAACAAACTAATTCAGGATAAGCTACAAGAGCTTTCCGAGATCATGGAGAGGATCAGAGAGATTGAAACTGAGCTCAGACAGGTCTGTCACACTGTGGAGATGTTATATAAAGACCTGTGTGGTCAGTCTGAATTGTGATTGCACAGAAAAAAAAACATGCTGTAAAATAGAAAACTGGATTCATATTTAATAAGCAAATCGACACAAAGTGGGGAGAGGGGTTCAGTTGCAACAGACCACCCAAATTTGCCCTGTTAATAAGCAGTTCTGCAACTCACACACATATTTTCAAGCATTTTGTTCATCTTTGTTTTCTTGTGAGTTAACTTATTCAGATATGAAACACTAATAAAGCTCACAATATATTAGTATGAAATGCTGTAATTTGCTTTCTTTATGAAAGAATTCAAGCTGCTGTCACTGGTGCCCATTGAACACCCCAAAGAACTATACATAATCCAACAAAACATTGATTAGGACATAAAAATGTTTCCTGACCACCATCACCCTCCTTCCTTAAATCCTTTATACCAGATTCTACTCCAGCAGCATTGCTAAGCTGGGTTATTTGATTTCCTGACTATGAAGGTCTACCCATTTAAGTTATCATTGCTGAATATCTCTGACAGACATTCTAGCAGGACTTTTGGGACAGAACATGGTTTCAGGGTCAAGCAAGGGATGCTCTACCACCTTATATTGAGAGCTGACTTGATGAAAGATCCTGGGCTGGTACTCATCTGAATGAGATGAATAGGCAAGAAAAGGGAGCAGAGTAGCAACTGCTGATAAAGACAACCTAGAATACAGTCAATATCAAGTGCCAATTCATATGCAATAGACAACCTTGTATTTTTAAAGCTGAAATTAATATTCAGAAATATCTGAAGTTTGAACAACCATATACCATTTGTCATATACCAAATAATACTGAGAATGAGATCCAGTATTCAGCCAATATCCAAGTCTTCAGAGACCATGACTAAGCAGAATTTTGGGAACTTTGAGCTCTAGAATGCCTGAGGTAGAATGTAGGTTTTGTTAGTGTTCCCAAAACTAACAAAACTAGTGTTCCCACCTTCTAGAGCATGTCTTTGCTCTAGAAGGTGGGACTGAAGGCAAATGTGCTCATAGTAAGCTAACTGATTGGACCTATCTGAAGTAACATATGCCATATATGTAGCAGGTAACAGTTTTGATTTTATGATCTGTACTGGCATGGAAACAAGATAAGTAGAGTTTAGGCAGACTGATGCTGAAGGGGCAAACTGGCATACAGACCATTAAAAACACCTATGCTGTAACATGGCTTTTACTAATACGCAATAAAATTGCAATTCTCACTATGCAAAAAACATCTCATTCAGCAGAGTTGTTCCAAGTAGTGAATGGCACGGTAAGTCATGTCTGCTTCCACCAAGAGACCGAAATCATTAGTCTGCTGTGGCTGCTTTTCTGTTAAAAATATTAAAGCAGCTCACAATAAAAGCATTCCAATTCAAACAATAAACAAAATAAAATCAGTAAAAAACAGGAAAAGCTAATATTGCTCTTGCACTAGATGTTTACAGACTTTTCAGAATGAACATGGATCACACGATTGCCAGACTGCTGTATTCCACTGCTTTCTATGCTATACTCTTCTTTCCAGAACTCAGTTTTAGCTTCTTTCTTTTTCAGTTGTACAACAATTAGAGTACTAGGCTGCCTTGTGTGGACTGGCAAAACACTTCTGAGGCTTTTCATGACTTTGTGCCTTTAATTACAAGTTTCCTCCTTGTGGCTTCTGCATCCTAATTGCTTTCTGCTTAGTGGTGCAGTATTGCTGATGAACTGAATTGGTTCACAAAAAAGCAAATCCCACAGAAAGGGCAGCCTTTTACAACCTGATACCTTCCAGCATTCTTGGCCACTAGCCATGTCTGCTTGGGCTGATGGAAAATGTAGTCTAAAACACCTGGAGAACAACAGGTGGAGCTACTCAAATAAAGATGACTGCTGTTCCAAAATCAGACTGTGACTATACCTTGTCTTCTTAGTCAAAAAGATTAGTATTCCCAGTATCTAACTATCTACTTTACTATATGCATATTGAAAATTGATCACTTTGTTTTAGGAAAAAGAAGGGACCATAAGTGGAACAGCACTCCATCAAACTATGTTTTCAGTTGTCAAAGAAAATTCACAGTCACTATTTCACAAACAAGGCACTGAAAGGCAACAGTTTAGAGGGCATATGGAAAGATGCTTGCAGGGCAGGCAGTAAATTCTGATTTCTAGTCTTAATCCTTGCTGCTGCTGCAGGGCTCCTGTTAAACTTTACACAAATGATTCAAGCTGATCATTTTTAATTTTATTTTGAGAAATATTATTCACACAGGTATAATATTGCCTAATACAATAGGCAAAGCTATTTCTCTGGCTGGATCCTGTATCAGCATAGAGCTGTTCAAACTATTCAACTATAAAAGGTAAAATTCTAAAAGTTGCATACCAAAACTGCTTGCCTTACAGAAAATTTGGAAGCATCTCTGAACTTTCTATTATTACCCTACCCTGCTCTGCTTGCCAGCCCTACTTGTCGCACCCTGTCTTGCCAAGATAAAAGGTACAAGAGTGTACCTTTACCACAGTGTACTATTTTAATACTTTCTCTGCAAGTTCTGGTAAAGAATTGGGCATTCTTGAAATGCCTGATTATGGTGTTTTTTCAGATTAATTACTAATAGCTGAACTGAACTAAAGAAATACATTTGATCAGAGTCTGGTGAGTAGCAGTAGTCATGCTCAGCTTTTAAAATCGTTGTGGCATCATAAACCATCTCCACTGAAGTTCCCACACTGGAGCAACGAAGAGCAAAGCTGCACCCTGGAGAAATGCATTCATTTGCCAACAGTAAAAGCTTGAAGTCCAGTAATAGCTCTGCCTAGGATGAGCGCATGGATGTCATGGGTCCCTGAGGGCAAAGGCAAGAGGAGTTCCTTGTTAGAATTAAGCATCTTAAATTTATTCATTTCAGAAATACATTTATGAACCATCTCTATGCATATTAAGTACTCAGTGCAATGTATAAATCAAACAAACTAATAATATTCAAATACAGTAAAACCTTGGGTTGCGAGCATAAATCGTTCTGGAAACATGCTTGTAATTCAATGCACTTGTACGAGTATATCAAAGTGAATTTCCTCATAAGAAATAATGGAAACTCAAATGTTTCGTTCCACAACCCAAAAATATTCATAAAAATGATTACAATACTGTAATATAATGCAAAATAAAGAAAATACAAAATATAAAGAAAAATAAAACAAATTAACCTGCACTTCTCTTTGAAAACCTTCGTGGCTGGTGTGAGGGAGACAAGAGAGAGGAGGGTTATTGTGTAGGACAACTTTCACTGTCACTAATGGAATCACTGCTATCTCTTGGCTCAATGGAATCTTTTTCTTTTCGCTCAACTTCAACAAGGAACCTATCCAATGATGCTTGCTTTTGCCTCCTTTTGAGGATTTCACAGAAATGTGACATTGTTGTTCAACAGATTCATCGCTCGCACTGCTACAGACTTATCTGGGTGGTGCATTTCTATAAAATTTTGCACTGTTTCCCACATTTTACACATCTCCCTAATCTCATTTGAAGTGAGGGATTCCTCCACCCTTTTCTCCTTCTCCTCTGTAGATGAGATCTCCTCCATAACCTCTTGCATCTGCTTTACTTTTCAGTATCTCCCTCTGGGGAGCAGGGGTGGGGGGGATACTGAAAGGTAAAGCAGATGCAAGATTCTAACCTTGTAGTACAACACACCATGTACTCCTCCCACACAAGCCTTGAAGTCCACAGTTAAGACCTGACATGATTTTTAAACAGATCTTCACAACAAAGCACCAAATATAGACCAAATAATTGGAACAGTTAAGTAGGACCTGATTTAAGTTAGTCAGTGTCAGTGTACAGCACCAAACAACCCAAGACTCTAATAAAAACAACCCCTTTGTCTTCAGAGTGAGTGTATGCCTTGCAGTTACCAACAAGGAAATGCTGTCAGCTTAAAGCTGCTTCCAGTGCAATCCTATGCATGTTTAGGCAGGAAAACAGTTCTGTAATTCCCAGCATACCCTCTCTTCCTGGAGGGATGCTGGGAGTTGTAGGACTGCAGTGAGCGAGAGAGAACCATTGGCTTAGTTGTGATCATGTGACGCTCGGCGTCATGTACTACTCATACTGCAAGACATCACTCATTTATCAAGTTAAAATTTATTAGAAATGTTTGCTCATCTTGCGGAACACTCGCAGAACAGGTCGCTCACAATCTAAGGTTTTACTGTAATCATAAAACTACTGGGGAACAAAAATGGCACCTTAAAATGAGGCTGACAAATTACAGAAAAGGATAACTAAAATGTTCAAGGGGCTGGCACAATTACCCTATGAGAATAGTTTAAACTTCTAGGACTGTTTAGGTTAGACAAAGGGTTTCACTTAGAGAAGACTGTTTAGTTTAGAGGCATGACAGAAGTGTAAAAAATTATGCATGCTGTGGAAAAAGTTGACAGGGTGATAGTTTTCTCCCTCTCATAAAATTAGAACACAGTGCCATCCCATGAAGCTGCTTGATGAGTGTTTCAAGACAGAAATCAGGAAGCACTCCTTCACGTAGGGTATAGTTAAACTATGGAATTAGTTACCACAAGACGTAGTGATGGCCTTCAGTTTGGATGATGGTTGGCTATTAGTTGTGGTGGCTGTATGCTATCCAGTGTCAGAGGCAGTATGCCGATGTAGACCAGTTGCTAAGAAACATAGGCAGGAGGGTGCTATTGTGCTCATATCCCATAGCAAGCAACTAGGCTAGACTGACATTTGCTCTGATCCAGCATGGCTTTTCTTATGTTCTTAACTCCATGGCTGGAGGAGGGGGAGAATTGTCATCCTCACACTTCAGCTTTGTAACCATTATTTTCATGTCCTTAGTATTTATTTCAAGCTCCCGGCAGAAGTTACCAAAGCATAGGTTCAGATTTCCCTACTCATGGGCTTGCCAGGAAGAACCAGAAAACTATTTTACCTTCATATGTGTTGACAGCCTCCAGGTTCATGACATGTCTGATAACATGATACTCATCGGCAATCCCATTGCCTCCCAGCATGTCCCGGGCTTGCCGGGCAATTTCCAAGGCCTTCCCGCAAGAATTCCGTTTTAGCATGGAGATCATCTCAGGGGTTGCCCTACAAATACAGAACATGTATAATGAAACAGGGTTTAGAAGGTGCCACGCATCTACATCATAACAAAGACAGAGAGTAGCTAAAAAAACTAGCTAGAAGATTAGAACATGTTATTTGTCATCATGCCTGTGCTTTAAAACAACAGAAGAGTGGGGAGGGGTAATTTTTGCCAGGAGTGCAGTCTGCGCAGATAAAAGGTATAATACTTTTCTCTGTTACAGATCAAATGAAACTCTGCCCCACCCTGCATACCTACTATTACCCTCAGGAGAAACAACCCCTTTGGCAGAAGGAAGGAGGACTTTCCTCGTGGAGCTATCACTTATAGGGAGATGATATTCGGTAGGACTGTAGTGAGCAAAGAAAACATTAGGCTTCCCTTCCCCTCATAGAAACACAGCGCAACTCAGACGGGGCCTCCTGGGCCACCTAATTTAACCCCCAGCTCCAGCTGGCTCCATTCATGACATGCCTACCATGTGCATGTCCAGCCGATCCTTAAACATCCTCACCAAGGGGCTTCAACCACCTCCCATGGAAGCTCATGTCATGCCCTACAGGTCCTAACCATTGGGAAGTACTTCCTGGCATCCACCTTGAATCTCGGCTCCGAGCTTTCCTCCATTGGAATCTCATGCTGTGATGCTGGCAGCACTTCCTCCTGACTAATATTTCTGTTGAAGGATGGGCATCATAGGTAATTGATGTATTTACCAACATATCCAATTTAAATAAATAAATAAATTTGGCCCAGAATTTGTGTCACTTGCCACATGCAGCAGAATAAGGAAGAAGAATGGACTGCACCAATTGGCCATATACAATTTTGTTGCATGTGCTGGAGGAGTTATTAAACATAGAAACTCTGCAGGTAAAAAACAAGTACACCAGGAGAAAGGTTCTTACCCAGTCCAGCTTTTACTAATAGAGATGAACTGTTTTTAAGCTGTGATCCCCCATAAACAAAAGTAGTACAGTTAATTCTTCAAGACTCCACTACTTGATTCTTCACCTCATCCCCTCCAAAAATGCAGAGGCACTTTGTACACAGTTATTTATTTATTTATATTTTATTTCTCAATCTATATCCTGCCCTTTTCCTACAAAGGACTCAAGGCAGCTTACAACTCCTCCTCCATCTTATCCCCACAACAACAACCCTGTGAGGTAGGTTGGGCTGAGAGCCTGTGACTGGCCCAAAGTCACCCAGTTGGCTCCATGGCCGAGCGGGGACTCGAACCCAGGTTGTCTGAGTCAAAGTCCCATGCTCTTAACCACTACACCACACTGGCTCTCTCAAAATGGTTTTGAAATTTAACCATTGTTCCTAGCTGCACTACCAATGATCCCTCCTCCTTTATCCAATCGCACAAACTGTCCACAATTGAGGTCAACACCAGAACATAGGAGAACGTTCAATTGCTAGAAAGGAATTCAAGCCTGCCCCACAATACCCACTGGAGCAAAAGCCACCCCTCGGCTTCAAGTCTCACATACACTTACTTGTCTTCGTCCTTCAGGCGGCCCAGCCGCAGACAAGCTTGTAAGCCAATGGTGATCTCTGTGCACATGTCCGCCAGCTTCTTCTGGATCAGCTGGTTTCTTGCCAGGGGGACTTTAAACTGGATCCTAGAAGATACAATTGGTAGGTGAGATAATGTATCTCTTAAGCCATTGCACAGCTGAATAGATAAGGAAGTTCAGTCAGTTTGGGTACGGCCATCCACACATGTACAACTGAGTGATACACATGAGGGGTGGAGGCCCCCTCTGAAGTCTACCTGTATATCATAAACTCCATCTTTAATTATAGTTGGAGGCTGCTGCCCTGAACGTTCCTAGTATTGTTATAGCAGAGAGCAGGGAAAATACAAAGAAGACTATAAATCATGGGTCCTCAAACTACGGCCTGGGGGCCGGATCCGGCCTGCCATCCAGATCCGGCCTGCCATGCCCATTTGGACCCGCCGCCACCCACCTTGTCCCACGTGTGGGGGGGCAGCAGTTTGCTCAGAGAAACCAATCTCCAAGTGTGCAAGCCGCTACCTTGTGTGCCCGCCCTGCCTCCCCTCACCATGCCCCGCCAGCGCCTGAGTGCGCTCACCCACACATGCCGCCCCTGCCACTGCCCCCTCGCCAGCCTGCGTGCACCGTCGGCAGCACCTTTCCGGCCCGCGCCCAGCACCTTTCAACTGGCCCCCTGGTGAAAAAGTTTGACGACCCCTGCTATAAATGATCTCTTCTATGTTTATAGCAAGGAGGAGTCTAACTAGCTAGCTATTCCTCACTGACTATAGAATGCATTGCCATAATTTGGGTAAGGCAGAAGACAGTGCTGTGCTTACGGGGCACAGGGCTCCTGCACCAAATCACTGAGAAGGCTAGGTAAGTCTGTTGCATGCAAAATAATAGCGTGTCAGCAAGGAAAGGGGGAGGACAGAAGGAAGCTAGACACAGAACTTGCAAGGCTCTCATTGGTATCTTAGCCTTGACATTCTCTCTGAAGTATAACCATGAGCATGAATGGGTGTGAAAGCTGGACTGTAAAGAAAGCTGACAGGAGGAAAACTGATGTATTCAGAAACATGGTTTTGGAAGAGAGCTTTGCAAGTACCCTGGACCAAGAGAAAGATGATCAAGTAGGTCCCAGATCAAATCTAGCCAGACTTTTTCCCGGAAATAAGAATTACAGAAATGATACTGCTGTACTTTAGGCACATCATGAGAAGACAAGCCTAACTAAAGAAGACAATACTGCTAGGGAAAGTCAAAGGAAGAAAACGAGGAAGACCAACTATGGACTGAGATTGATTGATTCCATACAAGAAGCCACAGCCTTGAATGAATTTGCAACAACTGAACAGAGCACTCATGGACTTAGAACTGCTGTAAGTCAGGGACAACTTAATAGCATGTAAAAACAAAATACATGTATTTTACATATGGAAGTGCAGAATTTATGGGAGCTGTCATTCTGCCAGTTCTGGGTAAATTGCTTGCCCACAGGCATGTGGAAAACAAGAGGGCAGGAGGATGCTGGGAGTGTAGGCCTTTTTTTGTCTAAATATGCATAGGATTGTGTCTTACATGATGTCTACTATACCAAGTTGAGTATACACTGTTAGCAAAGTGCTTAGAAGCATTTTAATTATTTTTATCATCTTGTTCTCCGCCTCATTTTACTACCTCCAGAAAGCAGGTCTAGCATGCTATTCAAACAGCGGCTGAAAACACTTGCTCCAGTCTCAGTCAGTCTTGACCATTCTGCGTGGTCTTAAACAAAGCAGTGCCTTTGCAATCTGTCACCCATGAGTAACACTGGGATAAATGTATTGGCTTACATTATAGGGTAGTGTTAAAGATGACCATGGCAATGTAAATGAAACCCAGCGAATGGAAAGGAGTATATATAGATGATTGCAGCAGCATCTCTCTCGTTTTGCACACCCAAACACCCATTCCACTTTGAGGCCTTACCTGTCCAGGGTATATTGTCTAGCTGTCTGCATACAGAACTCAGCTGCTCCCAATGCTCCCCATGCAATGCCATAGCGAGCATTGTTCAGGCAACCAAAAGGACCCTGAAGGGAAGAAAATAACATTAAAGCTTCAGATACGACATTGACCAGAATCCCCTCAGACTTACTGTGGGGGAGCCCTGGAACTCTAATTTCAAAAGGACAGAGATGGAGAATGTGTGGTCCTTTAGGTGTTGTTGGCCTGCAACTCCTATCATCCCTTGCCACTGACTATGCTGAGCAGGGCTGATGGGAGTTGCAGTCCAACATCTGAAGGGACACATGTTTCCTACGCCTTGACATGCTAACAATTTTATTTGGTTATTCATTTATTCATTCATTCAATTTATATGCCGCCCCATGAGTCACAGGCTCTCTGGTTAGCTCATTGAAATGGGAGTGTTCATTTGGCTAGTGCAAGCTATACAGCCCCTAGCCAACATGCTCAGTCCACAAGGGCAAAGCAAGGAATTGAACTGTACTCTGTACTCAGGTGCTATGGGCCAGGTTGGGGGCTGTCCATAAACCTAGTTACATATTTCAAAGCCCTTTTAATATATCTTCCTCCTCTTTAGTCTAATAAAATTTGCATTTGAGCTGAACATTTGAGGGGAAAGCTAAAAATGGCAAGATATAATCTTTTGATAGCCATGAAAAACACGCAGAAAATTCTAGGTATTAAAAAACTTTCCAAAATTATTCTTCAGGCCTTTTGACCATGCCGATGCAAAAATGTTCAATTCAAATTGTTTGTTTCTGATACAATTTGCCAATTTCAGAGACAAGTTCAGAGATATCTAAAGTATTTTTAGATACCCATAGAGAAACCTACTCTCTCTCAGTATGGCAGTTTTCCCACCAAGCTGGATTTGTTTTAGTCTCTCAATGGGTTTTTTATAGCAACAAATGAATATATCTTGCAATTTTCGGTTTTCTATTGTAGCTATCCAGGTTGGAATTTAAAAGTTTGCAAAATATACTGGACTATTTGAGACCATGCATCACTTAAGTAAAGAGCAACCCCAATAAATACTATGTCACACCTTTCATGACATTCTATGCCTGCAATATGTCACTCTTTAGTGTCAAATGTTGCCAGTGTAAATATGCATCAGGAGACATTTTTATATATTTCAGTAAATTATATTCAAAATACTTATTCAAAGATAGAACCACATAAACTGGTCATACATGCTCACTTATATTCATGTGTACACAAGTATTATTTACTGCTGCGATGAAATATTCATATTTCTGCAAGGATTGAGTGACAGACTCTAGTTAATAGATCGAGATGAGGAAAGTCTGAACTGAAATGCCCCCTGGTGGCAAATTATGGTTAGCCCCTTTTACACATCTCTGGGTGCACACCTGGCAAGGCTGCTATGGCTTCAAAGCCACGATGGCCTCACACGTGGGCAGAACCTGGGGTGGTTTGGCAGGATGGTCTACATTTGGCTTATAAGCCACCCTGACAAGCCACAGTTTATTGCAGAGATTTTTTGCTCCAAAGTGGCTTGCTATGTCATCCAAATCAAAATAGTGCATCCAGGGATTGGGAGGGCAAGCCAGTTACAGAGCTGCTTGGAAAGAGTGACAAAAAACCCTTGCCTAGTGTCTAAAGGGTGACTGTTGTTGCCAACCACCCCAAATACCACTTGAGGACAGCTAGCAAAGACCTCCAACCTTTCCCCTGTAGCTACTGTAAGCTGTTTTGTGCCCAGTGGGCATGACTTTTCCACTTTGTACTATTTTGTTGAAATGACAAAAGTGGGCTATCAAAACTTTTTCATTATTCCAAAATTACCAGTGCAGTTATTTGTGCATATAATTGGTGTTAAAAAGATTGAAAAGGCAAACACAGCCCTTTCAAGGTACTGTTGGGGTTCCCTAGAGAAACACCTCATATATGCAATCACTGGAATAATAAAAAGGGGCTGACAACGCATAAAGGTAGTTTTAAAAGGGAAAGTCAAGTCATAGCAAGCATGAAATGGTTCTCTACAGCTGCAGAGAATGAGGGAAACCAATGCCAGAGGGAGGACTGAGGGAGATGGCGCTAATACCACAATGTGTTCATCTGTTTGTTGGGCACAATGCAGGATATAAATCGAAAAATAAATAAATAAATAAAAATAAAATAAATAGTTTGTGCTGCAGTATGGTTTGTTCTACTGTTTGAAACCATGCACAGTGGTCTCAATGCGCAGGTTCAATGCTCGTGTCATGTCTTGCAGCATCTGCAATGTCTACCAAATGGCTGGATGCAACTGCAGATGCACGAGAGGGTTCTTACAGCAAGTCCTGTCACATTGGGGAGAAGGTTCTCTTCGGGCACCTCCACATCCTCCATAACAATCATCCCAGTGATAGAGGCTCGAAGCGAAAATTTGCCCTCAATCTTTGGGGTAGAGAGACCCTTCATTCCACGTTCCAAGAGGAAACCTCGCACTTTGCCATCCTCACACACAGCCCACACCACACACAGGTCAGCCATTGGAGAATTGGTGATCCTGAGAGAACAACAAACAGATATCAGAAGTCTTGCATGCTACCCAGAATGTCAAGGATACAGGTCTACTAAGCCCTAACCTAAGAAGCCAAAAGGTAGTGCTGAATGGGAAAAACTAAGACACAGAAAATGCCCCAGAATGAGCAGCACAACCCAGGGTTAACGCCCAGCCATTTAGGAAAAGAACTCCTGGTCAGAGCAGTTATCTAAGGCAGCATGAGAACCAGCATGGTGTGGCGGTTAGATTATCGGACTAGCAACCTGGACGACCAAGGTTCTAAGTCCCCACTCAGCTGTGAAGCCCACTGGGTGACCCTGGGCCAGTCACACCTTCTCAGCCCAACCTACCTCACAGGGTCGTTGGGATAAAACAGCTCTGTAGGCCATCTTCACATCCTCACAAGAGGAAAAATGGCAGGATATAAATACAAGGAACAACTTTCCGTCGAATCTGCCCTTGTTCCAAGATTTAATCTCTTGCTCTTGGCTGCAATCTGTCACCTGTTCTAGATCTCTCACCTGTTCTAGATCTCTCACTCTCCCTGTTCCTGTGCACCAACTCAATTACATATCTCACCAGGTCTTGGTGCCATTGAGTGTGTAGGTCTTTCTGGAAGGGTTATACTGAGCCCGAGTCTCCATGCTACCAGGATCACTCCCATGATTGGGCTCTGTAAGTCCAAAACAGCCCAACAATTCTCCCTTCGCTGCGAAGAGAAAGACAAGAAAGGATGAGGTTCAAATGCTTCCAAGGTACCTTTTCCCCCTCCCTGCAATCAATCCTCACTGCTTCACTGGAATACTTTTGTGTGGACTTCTACTAGACTGAAGGCCCACAGATTTTTGAGATGAAAGGGTACTTGACCCTTCTGGAGCTTTTATTGTGCCATTTCCGTTACAGAATTATTTTATTATTTTAAAAGTTGAAGATACTTGAAAGAAAGAGGTTATAGGGAAGTCAGACTGAACACAAGAGATTAAAAACAAGGAGAATAATATAGGTGCCCAAGGGAGCCATAATTCTTGGAAGTGCATCCAAAGGTATTTTGGAGCTCCCTGTCTGAGCCTGTAGAGCCTGTAGACTATGACCACCAAAGTAGATACCTGTATAATGATCATTTCGCTCAACCCTGGTGGATGTGCTGGAGGTGAGTAACATCCTGAACCCTTTGAGCTCCTGCCCCTGCAATTCCACTAGATATGCTCAAAACAGCAACTAGTAACAAAATCAAGAGACAGGAGAACAGAGGGGTCATGATCACTTCTGCATCTCCTGTTCTACTGGGAATCAGCTGGCAGTGCATTGGGTATTTGGAACACTCTTTTGAAAAGTGTAGGAATACTCTGTAAATGGAGCAAATTAGGTTTAGCTTGAAATTAAAGAATTGAAAAAGATCAGGAAAAGACAGAATATTAGTCGAGGATTAAAAGAAAACATATAAAATCAAGTTGATACATAAATAGATTGACAGAAGTTGAAAATAAGTCACTAGAAGATTAAATTCAGAAGGACAGGAGTTGTGGTAAGGAATTATTTAAATTGTCTCATTGTTTATTTTCAAAAGCAATGGGATCTTGTAAAATCTTTCTGTTCCTGATTGATGTATGATGCCCTGACACTAGATCAGTAAGCAACAATGATGGCACACAAGATGCTTGTTCCAACATTAGGGATATAGCTAAATCTCCCAACAGGATGTTTGTTTTAGACTACAATTCCTAGCATTCCTTACTATGTGGCTGAGAATGGAGTTGAAGTTCAAAGCATATGAATGTGATCAGACTGAGGAAAGGGTGAACTAAATGCCAATCTCTCACATCAAACAAGCTAAACTCACCCAGGCGTGGCAAGTATTTCTGCTTCTGCTCCTCTGTCCCGTATGCATATATTGGGTGCATCACCAGAGAAGACTGAACACTCATGACCGAACGGTAGCCACTATCCACTCTCTCAATCTCCCTTGCCATGAGTCCATATGCTACATAGGTGGTTCCTGCACAACCATAACCTAAGAGAAATGGATGGAGAGAAAGCAGCAAATGAGCCATGGGTTCTAAGCCAACTAGGTTGCCTATCTGGATGACAGGATCCTACCATTTCATTCTGAAGATTTAGAAGGAAACAGGACAGTAGATGGTAATCTCTGTGTGGGGGGCTGTCTAATGCCTCCAAATCCTTCATTAATGCACAACTTTCCTTATTCTACTTTAAAATATTTGACCTTGAGTTATGTAGCCATATTTTATATACCACCCAAAGCCAAAGTTCTATGGACAGTTTACAACACATAGTATACCATATCATATATTTACAAATTATCAGGAAAAATAACACAGAACAGTTAGATCTTCAAAAAGTTTTTGAAGTTTTGTCTGTCATCTAAGATGACTCTGCCTCCATGGGGCAGCTCACAATTCAGTATAACTTTTTTTCAAAGTCCGAAATATAATTCAGCAACCACCATTACATCAGCAGGGGCACAACAGATCATGTTATATGGATGCTTATGCAAATGCTCCTTTTCACAGCATAGCAAACAGCCCAAGATGGAACTAAGCAGGCCTCCTACATACTCACGCAACACATTTTTGACAGCAGGCAGCTGTGGATAGAGAAGGGCATCCAACATTTATCTAAGTGCTCAGCCTATTATTTGCTCATCAATTATTCTTTGAACTCTCCTTTTATACACAAACTGAACTTTTAAAAAGCCTATTAAGTTCATCAAGTTCAAAGTTCATTAAATTAACAGAGAAACAAACTTCCAGTAAACAAGGGAATGCTTTGTTACCACAATGATAAAAGTCCCCAAAATGCGATGATGATGGTTTCTTTTATCACCGTCAACATAAATGACTGCTGAAACAAAGACAGCTTTTACTCTGAACTCTGATAGCAGCACCCCTCAATCTTTTTCAGCTGCCTCAAGTACTGCAAGTATTATAGAAGGGTGGTATACAGATCTACTTAAATAAATAAAGGATCTCTCTTCTCAGAGGCCTGCTCCCATTTCTTTCCCATACACATCTAATTAATGAAGCCATGCACTCAACCAGTGCTATGATGATGAACGCAGCAGCATTACCTTTGATAGTTGGGCCCAGAATGCCCAGTGCCCCCATTTCTGAAACAATTTCGCGGTGAAAGACTGCATCAGAGAAGGAAAAGAGTAAGGACAAAATGTGAATATAACCAACAAAGCCATAAGTAGAACTTCACACATATTAAATCAATTGGGAGGGTCAGTGTTATGCAGAGGGATTCCCACTTTTAACTCTGATCACTTATCAAAGATAACAGCAGGGATTTCCTTCCCCACTAGTTTTCAGGGGACTAGGGTTTGGAGAGGGAGAACAAGTCTTCATCCGCCTGTTTAGTACTGCAGGCCATAGGATCCTCATCCTTGCATTTTTAATGGTTTCCTTTCTGTCCGCAGAGATCTCATGTGTAATGTAGGTACATGAGGGGGTGTCACACAGAGGTGGGTAGAGACCTGTTCTCCCCTGCAGAGGAGGGAAGGATGTGCTCCAACGAAGCGAAGCTCAGGGAACCACGATTCAATCTGGATGCCAGGAAATACTTCCTGACAGTTAGGACCCTGAGGGTGTGGAATGGGCTTCCACGGGAGGTGGTTGAGGCCCCATCGGTGAGGGTGTTCAAGGATAGGCTGGACATAAACATGGTGGGCATGTCATGAGCAGAGCCGGCTGGAGCCGAGGGTCAGACTAGATGACCTGGGAGACCCCTTCTGACTTGCTCAGTTTCTATGTTCCTATGTTACCTGTAGTGGCATGGGAGTGATGTAGTGAGACTGCTTCCAAACTATTGCTAGAGATGCTTGAAGGATGGCGATCACAAGGATGAGGTTAACATCAGGCTAATGAGGTGTGGGGGCCACTGAGAGGAGTTGAAGAAGATTTTATATCTCCCTCAAAACATCTACAGCTCCTTTCATCAGTACAGGGGATATAGAGGCACACAAAGTCACTGCAGCAATTACTTATATCAAAATTAATACACCACTTTAAAGACCGTATACAAAGCAATAACAATTCAACAAAATATTTAAGAAGCTTATAAACAAGGGCACAGAAACTTTTAACTCATGTGACCCGATAGGGTGACACTCACAGAAACATGACACGTAAATCAGAGATGTCCAGATTCCCTTTCTGGTATCTTCATGAAGACACACAGCAAAAATCACAGATTTCACTGTCTCACAGAATCAAGCCATTCTTGATTTAGCCACAAGTCATTAACTCTGTGGCTAAATGCACTAGGAATTTAACAAGTATCAAGAAGAAAGCAGAGAATCCTTTACATCTAGAGAAAGGACAGTCCTCAACACCAGCCTGCACATCATTTACCACACTAGAAGTGCCCAATGAATAGAAAATATACCTTCATTTCGATTGGCCATGAGGATCCTAGGCATCAACTTTTCCTGACAATAGCTGCGAAATGAGTCCCGGATCATTATTTCATCCTGAGTAAGGAGGCTCTCTAGCTGTAAGGCATCTTGCCAATCAAACGAGGTTCTTGGGGCTGGGAAAACAAAGGCAGAACCAATCTAAAGTACAAAGGATCTGGCAGCAAATGTCTCTCACCTCTAGAAGAGGCATCATTAAAGTAAGCACTTCCTTCAACACCTTTCAGTTGTTGGACCTGCTTGTGGCCACTCATCCAAACAAGGGAATAACACACCAAATCAGCTAGACTTCCCTAACCTGATGTCTGCAATGAATTTGGCTAGAAAGTATGGAACATACAGAGGACAACAGGTTATAGGAGGCCAAAATACACATTCTATTTCAGTACTGTTAATAGATGCACACTTTCCAAATGCTTTATACAAAGCTTGTAAACTAGTTAATGAATGCCTCTGCTACACTAAGGTAAGTAACTGGCACATGCATGCTCTCATATCACATTTCATCCAGCAGAATTAAGAGGTAGCCAATTATTCACCTAATAGGCAGATTTTCCTATATTGGCAACCCATCATGGTAAAAAGATGGGTTGCCATTAATGCCAAACACCCAACATGTCTTCTTTGCTCCCTCGCCATGCCTCACATTCTTCCTGACAGTATCCTAAGAGACAATGCAGAGAGGAATAATGCTCCTTGTTTGACAGCCACGATTCTGAATCCATTTTGGTTCACTGAAGCTGTCAAAGATTCTTTGTTGTGCAAACACCCTGAAGCATAACAAGTGTGTGTTTCTGTGGGGGGGGGTGCATCAACTCCATGGCCATCAGTTTGGCAGGGCTACCTCAAGGAGACAGTTCCACCCAGCTGACTGCCCCTCCATGCTTGAAAGTAAGCCATTTGAAGCAAATCATGGGCTCCTAGACTGTGAGGCTTATTAATAGTGAGAGCTGAGAGCGGGGCCATGGGTTCAACAGTGTAAAGTCCATTGTCAGCTCTTAACTCCTGCCTGGGAGTACGCTGCACAGAACAAGACACACTGTGGAGTCAATGCCTCCCCCGCATTCACACCTGAAAGGCTTACTCTCAGATTGGAGGACAATCAACCTGGAAGTATCTACACACAGTTGCATCTTCCAGGATCACAGGAAAAGTATAACCAAGATCAATCACTGACACACATGCAAAAGATAACAGAACAGCCAGTAACATTTTGCCAGATTGCCTCCTTCAGCTTCCACAGGAATTAGTTCACCCTTCCTAGGAGTCCCTAATGGAACAAGATACAGATTTGTGGGGGTAGGGGGATAGCAGAAATGAAAACTAAGAATGTGAAATTAACAAGGTGATACTTCTGCCTGCTGCAGCATAGAACAGAGGGAGGGAAGAACACAGAACTTTCTGTATTAATTTTGAGAACTATTAAGTCTGTGAAATGGGAGAAGGCATTGCTGCAAGTGAGATGATGGCTGGGAGCCCAAATATATAATTCAAAATCAAAGGTCATCACATTCCATAAGCAACAGAAACTAGCCTACCTTTGGCTTCTTTCCCAGAGAGTGTAGCTTCTTTTTCTGTAATAAAATCCGGGAAAATAATGCAGTTTCCTTGTTCAGTCAGCTGCCCATTTCTTCCTTTCCATGTCAGTTCCTAACATTCCCAGGTAGCTTTTCTGGAACTAACAGACTTCAATATAAATCAGCTTCCCTCAATCTAGTGCTTTCCAGATGTTTTGGCTTACAGCTCCCACAATCTCCAGCTCATCTGGAAAATGGATTGAACCCAACACATCTGGAAGGTTCCAAGTTGGGGAAACCTGGAATACTAAGTTAGATGAAACAATGATCTACCTTGACATACAGCAGCTCTCTGTGTTCTAAGTTAGCTGCATGGGACAACATGTCCTCACACCAGAGATCAGTTTTAAAGGCCACCATCCTCAGCCCACATCATTCTTTCCACTAGAACAGACCTTTGTTTCATCTACCCTGCTCATCTTTTTGACCAGAACATGGAGTTGGATGCTGACTTAAATCTTTTTCTGGAATAAAACAATGTACAAGGTGAAGATGAAAACTTCTAAATAACTAAGCATACATTTTTATCTCCCCCATCCCCTCTATATCACATCTCTTAAGCAAACCTCCTTCAGTAGAGGCTCTACCACTTTCCTCATCCATTACTTATTGCTTATTATACTTTCAAACCACTCAATAACCCAAGTTCCCTGGGCAGGGGACAGCACATAAGACACAAAATTTGCAGATGTTGTCCACTAACCTTTCTGCACAGCTGCACTGGTGCCTTGTGCCCGGAGACTGCATGGGCCTGTCACACAGCGGCTGCACTGCAGCAGCCTCTTGGCAGGTAATCTGAGCATATTCAGGACAACTACCTGGAAAAGGTCAATCAAAGAAAATGGTAATAACAGAAGGGGGGGGGGACCCTTGGAGAGCACCTGGAGCCCTCTGCTAATGACACCTCCACTTCTACGGCCTTAAGAAATATATATTTCTTTTATATATTTCATTACTGTACCACCCAGTATCTTGTGCTTTATTTAGTCAGATAAAACACCGAAAAGAGGCAATTGTGCCTTTAATTCAGCTCACAGGCAGCAATTTTTGTCAAATATCTATAACCTGGCCAGCATTAGTTCCTTAGCAAGCAACAGCTCCTACTGCAACGAAGAGCGACCTAAAAGGGGAGAGAGGATGGCACCTCTTTGGGTCACGCCAGGCCGGCAGTTCAGGAGCAAATGTGGGTCTAAGCCCGAGAGTCTTTGGTCAGCCGAGGCCTCGCGGCCCACTCCGATGAAAACCCTTGAAGAAGGCAGCCAAATCCATGGATTTCGCTTCCATCTTGGGACGGCCATAACAGGCTTCTGCTCCTGGATTCTCCCCCCTTTACCGTCCCGCTGCCAGGCAGCTCTGCAGAACAGAGGCAGCAGACCGCGGAGGCACCGCCTGGGCCGGCGTCTTCAGCCCGCCGCTCAGCGCGGAGCACCCACCTGCGAGGACTCTCAGGCGAGGCGGCGGAAGTCGGCGAGCGGGGCGCGCCTGCCAGATTCGCGGCCAGCCCCTCCTCAGGCCAGAGGTTGCCCGCCGCCGCCTTCCATTGCCGGCTGCGGGCGGGAGAGGCGCGCCTGCCCGCCATTGGCCGGGCGAAGGAGGCGTGTGCGCGGCGCGACACACCGGCCTTGCCCTCCGGAGGAGAGCGATTTCGCAAGCTAGAGCGGAAGACACGCGTCGCGGCGTGATCCTGCCCATGCTTGGACAGGGGAAAAAAGCCTGCAACTCCCAGCATGCCCTAATCATGAGGCATGCTGGGAGTCGAGGGCCTTCCCCCTCTAAAGATGTGCATGATTGTGCCCTAAAGCTGCAGTAGCGTATTCGCATCTCTAGGAGCCAGTACAGTGCCGCGTAGTGCAACTTACTTCCGAGTATATGATTGAACTATGCAGATTTCCCTTTGCTTAACATCTCGGAGCATGCAGAAACAAGGAACTCTCGTCAAGACTCAGGTGGCCACAAGCCCGTAAATCCTTGCTGGCCTTATCTTTGTCTCATTAGCAGACTCATCTTTTTTTCACAGTTCTTTTTCTCAGCCATTCTGTAATCCCTCCCCCGCCCCCGCAATTTAGTGAAGGGTAGGACAAGTTCTCAGAAAGATTTTTTTCCTTCTCGGCAAGACCTTGGTGCAATACTAGTGTTTTCTTGATTTGAAACTCTTCGAGGGCAATCCTATACATGTGTGTTTAGAAGTAAGCGGCACTGAGTTACTACTGGAATCACTGTCAGGTGAGACTACTGGATTGTAGCCTTAGAGTACAATCCTATGAATGTTTAGACAGGAAAATGGCTTGCACCGCCTGCTTTACTTCAGCAGGCAACTCTCATCTCTCAATGTTTCTGTCTGAACCTGCATAGGATTCATCCCATACTTGTCTACTACTTACCCATGAGAAATATCCACAAAACACATTAAGAGCATGTGTGGTGGTGAAGAGTGTTGGACTGCAGATGTGGGAGATCCAGGTTCTAGTCCTGGTTAAGCCATAAAGCTCACTGAGTGACTTTGGGCCAGTCACAGGCTCTCAGCCCAACCTACCTCTTCTAGTTGCTGGTGTAAGGCTAATATGGAATTACGTGGGATATAAATGTCATGTACCACTTTCCTATGTTCGGGTCTATATTTAAAATTAATTTCTTTGCTTTTCAGAAAACAAATCTTTTTACAAATCTAATACACTTTTTTTAAAGTAAATTTGCACTGTTTTTCCCTGAGCATTAGTTATCTTCTGCCCAGTGAAGGGTTAATGTAAGGCTCCAGGGAATGCCTCCTTACATGGATAGAGTTGCAGAGTTGCCAACTTTCATGATTAAAAAAACTTTTGGCATTTCCAGTTGAGTGCTTTTCCACAAACCTTACATAAGGATCGAAGATTTTGTAAAAGCAGTACTGTCACACCAAAATCCTCAATTAAGGCTCAAATGATCAGTTTCTTGCAAGGGCAATTACATTTATTTACAACTAATAATGGATCCATGGGTGCCTAAGAGGAACACCCAATGCAAATCTTGCTAGGGTTTTATAGAATACACAAAAGGGGAGTGAATACAATACACAGGAAGGTGATGGGACGCTTTGTCAAGGCTTACTTGAGTCAAGTAAATAGAAAGGTTACATGTGCGAACTTACAGGGTTAGGGAGGCACTTTAGCAAGCCTGTAGAACTCACTTAGATAAAATACAAAGATTACATGTCAGATACCCAGTGATGAAGTGAATTGTCTAACCTTCGCTGCCAGACAGTGAGGCATCTCTAAGGACAGTATACTGGTATTTATTGCAGGGCAGTGGGGTAGGATGGCAAAATTTGTTTTTCTGAGTACAGCACTGCTAGAGGTATTTTCTCTGTTGAAATATATAAGTCCTTGCCAGGTGATGGTATGTTGTGCTGCATGTCTCCCTTCTCTGTATGTTTCAGTTTAAAGACCTCTTAATGGACTTTTTCATGCAGAGGCCAAATACATGCTTTCCATTCTTTGTGAGGTGCAGCCCATCATTTGCCAATAGTGTGCCTTCCAATAACTTTAGTTTGTGGTCCCAGAATCCAAGTCTTTCTTTATGGCTTCACCAACATAGACAGTCATTCACCTGAAGGATTTTTCTTTCCTTATCAGTTCCTCTTCCGCATACTAGTAGGATTGGGGAGAAAGCTATCTGGGCCCTAGTACTTTTGATTTCCTCCCGAGAACTTCAAAATATTGTGTGATTTCATCAGAGTTTCTCCTGGCAGTGTCATTAGTTCCGACATGGATAAGAAGGAAGGGATATTTGTCCATGGACTGTATAAGATGCATGAACATTGGTTATATCTTTAATCTTGGCTCCAGGAAGACAGCATACTTGGTGATTCTCTGGATGGCTGTGACATTTTCCATTTCGTGCAAGAGGGAATCTCATGTAACTAGCACTCTTCTCCTTTTGTTGTTACAAACTCAGTACCTTTTTCCTTTCTTGATTGGTCCTTTGTCTCTTTTTCAGAGTTACACAGTGTGTTGTGTAGTTCTTTCACGGGGAGTTTCTCACACATCTCTTCCTCAAGTTGCTTGAGGTGCTTCAAGAGTTCCGCTGCTTCCACTGGTGCAGGATGCCTTCTAGGTCTTCTGTGTCTAACTGGCACCCTGTTTCAGGGAACTTCCTCACTTTCGCTTCCCTTGGGGTTCTCTTCTTCTGCCTCAGCTTGTTGATGCTGTTCCTGCTACTGGACTACACTTCACTGCTGCAGCTCCACTGCTCTGTTTAAAACCTCTTTGTTTTCTTTTATTACCTTGAGGGTGGATACCTGCTGCTCCAGTGCTCTCACCCTTTCTTCTAACAGGGCTGCTGGCTTGCAGTTATTGCATGTGTAGACCATGTTGCTCTCAGGTAAGAGAGAAAACAGACATTGCACCGTTGTTGCAGGTCACACCACCAAGAGCCTTCTTGCTCCATTGTTTGTGCGACTTTTGTGATTCTGTCTTGGGGGCTGTTGTGACAACTGGCACTTTCTCCTGTCTTCATTAAAGGTTAAGACATATGAGTACGCCTACTAGTAAATGAGAGTGTTACAAGGAGGAAAACAAGGGTGTATGTGGGAATTAAGGGGAAATAAAGAAGAGGGAAAAAAATGTAAGAGATCTCCCCCGATTGTACTGCTCTTGGTTCTCTCCCTGGGAGCTTGGCTGCTTGTATCCAAGAGGCCCTAGACCAGCTGCAGCAGCTTGCTCTGCGTCAGGAACCAGAATGAATGAGAACCTTGAAAGCAACCTTATAAAGAAGGAAAAGGGGGGTATTTCTGTGGGGAGGAGACTGGAGGGGCCAGGAGATGAGCCCCAGGTGGATACAGCTACTCCATCTCCCATCCCGTCTCTGTGAGTTATACTGGATTTATTCAGTCATCTCTGACTGTCCATGACCTTATACATGACTGCTCTCCCAAGTGACCTGTCCCTGACAGCCCTGCTGAGCTCTTGGAAACTCAGGAGCTGCACGGATGGTCACAAACCCTGTCACTACACTGAGGTGTGCCTCCATCCCAGCTACTCGTAGATGAATGAAAAGGTCCATCTAGTGGAAGATGCAGGGCAGGAGGATGTGGAGGCCAGGGCAGCCTCAACAGCTTCTCCTGTTCTGCATAGGATGGATGAAATGTCTTGGTTTGGGCCCTTATGGGCATCATGCGCCCTTAGGAAGTGTGGTTCAGTTTGGAAACTGTGTGATTAAGGGGAAATACAACTGAAGTTTTAATTACAGATAACACACAGAGAAAGTGGATAAAACTTTGAAGTCAGGGTCCCCCAATGAAATTGATTGGCAGTCAGTTTAACTACACAGCAAAAGAGTATTTCTTCATGCAATACATAAGGACTGTATTTTGCTGGAATTTACTGCCATGAGAATTGTTGATAGCCAATAGCTTAGTTGCTTCGGAAGGAGGTAATATTTAGGGAGAACAGGGCTATCAATGTCCATTATGTTGTTATGCTCACTCCAGTTGTCTGGGCAGGGAGAAGTTTCATGGGTGCCCCACTTAAATAAGTTTAGTTCATTTGAAATGAAGCTGCTAGCAGTTTACTGGCTTTTTTGAATTATTTCTGTTCATTTTCAAATATACAGTACAAGTTGACCATGGGTATAGCATTAAACACTTGGAAAGATATCCCAAAGTTCATCATTTTCACAGCAGATTTCCAGGGAAACAAATATCTTCCAGCTTCTAGAAAAGAATCTTCACTTTCCTCCAAAACTGCATTTTCAACATAGACACAGCTTGATGACAACATCTCCATCTTCAGGGGAAGGAGGAAAGATGTTTCCATTGCACAGTGTGGTTATCTCCTTCTGGTAGAGCCTCTGGCTATCCATCATTGGGGGCTTAGATGTTGCTAGTGTCATCATCTTCATTAGCATCTGTTCTGGATTTCAGCAAAAACAACTGTCAACCAACACAAGAAAATTACAACAAAACTTCCAATAATTAGCCAAAAGTCTACTTGTCTAATAATACTGAACAAATAGAATTCTCCTACAAGCAAAATTAGCCCCAAACCTAGGTTTGTGTAACATTAAAATGCCCTACAAGCCATGTGATTAACATAATGTATAGGTTCTCAGCCTTTTTGAGTCACTGGGTATATTTGAAATGTTGCAGAGCCATTGGTGTTCTCACAGAATGGCTGCCAAGAGTGGACTTGCTCTTTCCTAGAATGGCTATCAAGGTAGGTGGGACCAGTTACAAAATGCTCATTTTCCAGGAGGCACGCTAAGAAAAAAGTAACTCATCCAAGAGTCTCACACAAAGCTCAGCTCCAAAACAAAAACACTCATTCAGATTAATCCTGGAGGGCAGCATTTCGCTTTGCAGCATGACATTTGCCTGGCATTGTTTAATTTCACCAGTTTCATTCATCTTACTTATATATGATGTTTGGATGTTGCTTTTTCAACTGATCAATGTTAAGGTGGTGTCTTTCTGTTATTTCATTTGGATTCACATCCCCACAAAACTCATGTTTTGAACTTTAGGTAATTTTTTAAAAGCATGTGCCTGAGAGCATCAAAGTAAGAGTATAGCATTAATGAGTATAGCAACCACTGCAAAATAGGACAGCATTCACGAAGGGCACCTCTGCTGTGGTGTCACTGGATGTGAGTTGGGTGTGCACTCCCTTTACAATGGGAAACTCCCAGTCAGTGTCACCACAGCAGAGGCTCTCCATGTGCTTGTGGTCCTATTCTGCAATGTGTCTCATAATGGCTAATGCTTTGCTCTGCACTGATTTTCTGATCTTTCACAATTGCCAGGAAGGAGAAGGAACCGGCATTGACCCCTTCTGTGGTCAGGGCATTAAGGGAGGGAGACTAGGAGGAAACAGGGTCATGCAGCTACCAAGAGGCTGTGGGTGCTTCTAGATGCAGCTTTTATTGTGCGGACACAGTGACATCTTTATGAAATTGTATGGGGAGTGGTCTAAGTATTATCTTTAGTTTGGACATGTCCTTCCACTACTACTTCTTGGAATCTTTTCCCTTACTGGCTAAACATAAAGATCAAGGAAGAAAAGATGGAATAGCTGCTTACTTTTTATGGCTAGTGGCAGGAGCCCTCAGTGTGGAAGTACCGTATGGAAGGCAAGTATTTCCTGTACTTTTTGTCAAAGACAGAAAGGATGGCAACCTTTCTCCATGTCTCTGTGCTCAATTTCCAGTATTCCTGGTAATATCTAATCCTGGTTGCATTAATATCTATGGGCTCCAGGTTAAGATTGCTCTTTTATGAGGGTCTTCTTCAAGAATTCTGGGACAATAGAAACTTTCCACAAAGCCCCTCTGTGGAAGACCTATCGGTGCCAGCTCCAGCTTCTCACCACAACTGTCACTGCTAGTCTTGCTCGTCACCCTCTTGGTCATCACTGCTACCACTTGCTCACAGAAAGCCAGTGAACAATTAGGCGGGAACATCAATAGCTACTCCTGCTCTTCACAGCTGCAGCCTGAGCCAGAGTGGACAGGAATGGTCCAAAGAAGAAGAGGAGGAGCAACTTGTTAGTGGACCCCAGCTGGAAAAGGGGCCTTTGGGCAAGTGCCTAATTATTGCCTTCCCCTGATTCTGGCCCTGGGCTGAAGTTCCAATAGAAATAGGAACAGGGAAGGGTAGCCTGCCCATTATCTTTCACAATCCCACTAGCTGGGCCTTTCAGATGTTCCACATCTTCAATATTCATAGTGCTGGAGACAATTCAACTCTATCTTCAAAGTTTATCACCATACTGCCCCTTATCCTTGACACAAGTATCACAAGAGGAGCTGACTGCCAGGTCTCTCTGAGACATCCTGATAAAACTCCATAACAAGCTGGTAATCTGCCTTTCCCTGAAAGCAGACAGCTGGTCTTTCAGTTGGCTTTGCAAAATTATGTTTCACCACAAAGCAACCACAAAATGTCTGCTGGAGAAGCTTCACTTTGCAAAAAGCAAAAGAAAGAGAAAATCCCAGGCTACTACTCTAGAACCCAAGTGTCCTCCAGTCTAATCCCCTGACGCACCAGCTTTTGGAGCCAGCTTGCCTTCCAGCAGCACTGTGGCACAGCAAATACTGTGCTGGTGGAGCTAAGAGCTTTTCCTTTAATGCATGCTTAGTCATGGCCACTATCTCTCAGTCTTCATTTACCATCTGCAAAGTAGGGATTACAACCACCTACCCTATGCTGGAGGATGCTCTCCAAGTGTAAATGAAATGAAGTAAATATGTGTAAAGAACTTCATATGTTACAAGTGATGAAGTCAGGCAGGCATTATGAAGAGCTTTACATTAAGGCAGCCTTTCCAATGTGCTGCTGGCTGAGGATGATGAGAGCTGTTGTCTGGAGGGTTTGGAAAGGATGTTTGAAAGAACAGTAAGTAGAAGCACTTGTAAGTGGACTTGTTGAGAGAGAGCAATTTAATCCATTGGCATATGGTTGTTTTCCATAGAAATTAATGGCATGTATAGTCTCTCTCTCTCTCTCTCTCTCTCTCTCTCTCTCTCTCTCTCTCTCTCTCTCTCTCTCTCTCTCTCTGATAGTGAGAGATAGCTGCTTGGGACGCTGCTCCACTGTTCAGCTTGGAGTTGGTGTGTGTGCTTACTGCCAGCGGTGTCATGAGTTCCAGCACATTTATTTTTTTTTACAAAAAATGCATCACTCTCCTTTCTCCAAGGAGCTTATGTGAAGTTAGTTGGGCAGGGTGAAGCTGAAATAGTGCCTGTCCCAAAGCCAAGTGATGAATTTCATAGATAAGGAGGAGTTTGAACTGTGGCATATCCAGTTCATTCAGCATTTTACCACGGTCACTAAAATGGGATGAACTACAACCACAAAGTAGTTACAAAAACTGGGCTGGGATAAGGCAGAGGGAAGAAACAAGGAGAAGACTTTGCCAGGTACAGCACATTTTTGTGCTTGAGGCAGAAAATCTAAATCTTTTAAAGCAGAGCACAATCCACAGCAGCACTTGTACCACTCTGGATCATTTCAATGGGGTTGCACAGAAGAAGATCCCAGTGGATTGTGTCCCCTGGGACACAAGCCTGGCCAGTCCACCTTAACAGCTCCTCTGTTTGCTAGTTGGCAACTAATCCTAGTTTCCTACAAGATGTTGAACTCAAATGAGGTGGTATTCAGCTAATAAAATTATTTGTAAAAGTTGCTTCCCTTCTAAGAGCTTTAGCAAAACCATTTTATTAGACTGAATACCTTTTCTTCTTGGGGAGGGATTCCTTAAGTGCTGAAAACATATTAGGAAGTTTAGACCAAGACAAATCTGTATACATTGATAGAAGTTAGTTGCCATGCTGTACCTAAAGATATTTTCCTCATGGTTAAAATTGTGGATTCATTTCTCATACACAGCCCAGAACTGCAACCCTATGTAATGAACGTCAACTATTGTTTCTTCACATATATGCATAAAGTTGCACTATAAGTTTGTTTTCTCATAAGTGCCATTCCCATACAGTTTTATGTTGCATTCATATATTCACTTATCTGGGAGTCAGCCCCACTGAATTCAAAGGAATTTACCTCTAAGTAGACATGTATTTAGTACAGGCCTTGATGTGTTTTGAATGGCAGCTTTCGGATAATATTGGGAAAGACCTCTCTTCTCTGTCTCCAGTTTGCCTGATAAAGGGAGTTACAGTCTATGAAAGTTTACCTGCTAAAAATCTGCTGAATGTTAAGGTGCTCAAAGGCTCTCAATTGTTCCAGATAACTTTTGTGCATCCTTACAGTTTCCTATGCAACAAGTAAATGTGTAATTTGATTACAGCTGAGTTCACGAGCTCACTCATCTGAAAGGTTTGATTTTAAACTATCTGGCCCACACTACATTAAACTTGCCTAATATTATTTTGCATCCGAGTATTCTCACTTCATAGGGTTATAACTGGTCAGGCTGCAATCGAGCATACAATTAGTTTAAAGTAAATCCAACTAGAAACGGTGATATTTCAGCAAACACTGTTAGGGCTGCTTTGCAAATTTTATCACATGCACTCAGTCGCTTCTATAAAATGACCAAAGACTGCTGTAGAATAACTAAGCATAATTAAGACTAACCCAACTCCACCTAGTTCCGGGGCGGCCACGCCCACCGTGCTTCTGATAGGTACAGTTGGCTACATTTATTTTTTTCCACCCCTCCGAACTGGCAAATGAGTGAAAGAGTTAAAGGGGGGAAATTGTTAATGGTAAGCCCTCAATTACAAAGTTTTGCTTTTAAATGAAGAGGGGAGGGAGATAGGATGCTTTAGAGGGGGCAGGAGCAAGGTGTGCATGTGAAAGGAAAAGAAAAGAAAAGGATTAGCCGTGGGTGCTCTCCTGTCTTCTGTTTCAGTGGTGCTGCTGTTTGTAAGCCATGGCATTTGTGGAGACTGTTGGAATACTAGGTGGGTTCAACCGCGTACAGGATGCACACTCTGAACTCTGCCAGGTGAGGAGCGGGCAGGGTAGTGCGCCGCTGGCGGAGGTGGGCGCTGGGCGGCGCTGCCGGGGGTGGCCTGGCGTCCTGTGGAGCGCGGGGCGGGGGTGTCAACTGGTCCCGAAGTGGTGTTCGCGGGCGAGCCCTGCGATGCTGCTTAGCACCGTAAGTGACCTGCTCTGAATGGGTGTGGCAGTTTGCCGCTTTCAAAACGCTTTGCTGTACGCGGAGAGCCGAGTGCAAGCGACTCCACGTGCATGGCCAGGTTTCGAAGCCCTTTCTTGGCTATATTTCATTGCAAATGTACCAACAAAAAAGCAGTGTTTAGAACACTTGCTTTCTTGTTTTTCCTCTCTTCATAATGACTAAAGGCATTCATAAGAGGCCATAGATACTTCCTTGTAGCATGCTTGCAAACCTGCCTCCTAGGGTGCATATTTTTATTTTAGAATAAGATGTTTGTATTTATGCCTTATTATGAACAACTTAATTGGCTTTTTCTTCACAACACTCTATTATTCACAACAATAGTTCACTCAGTAGGTCCAGCAGTATAAATACTCTTAAGAAATAATTACAGTTGAAGGAACTCATGTTTTCAAAGGCTGGCAATAAGGTATATGTACCGAGTGGGCTAAAAAGCATCTCTTCAGTTCCAACTAGGAAGTTTAAGTCTCATTTTTAATGTACATTCTAGATTATCTTCAAAACATGCATCTTATTAAACATGTAGGTAAGTTCTCTACTCAAATTCTATGACTGCGAGAAATTTTGCATAGGAAGAAGCTTGTATGTTCTGCTTGCCTCTGTTGTTTATACCCATGGTAAGCTTTTAGGGTCTAATTGTGTGATGAGCTAAAGATTCTGAGGAAAATCTATCTCCTGTCTTTCCTCAGAAAAAGTCCAAAGTTGCAAACGGCTTACATACTGTGCACCACATATACAGCAATAAAATAATGGCTATAAAATCAAATCTGTCATAAAATACAATTAAGGCACTGGCATAATAACACTTGTGTATACCTAAAGCCTGCACAAAGAAACAGATTTTTAACTGGCGCCTAAATGACAACATGTGAGGAGGCAGGTGAATGCAGTGATTCCTGCTGTGCCAAGTAAGCTGGAGAACTATTAGTGAGGAGACCTCTGGTTTATTGGCTGTGTTTGGAGGTACTTTTCTTTACTAGAACCCTAAAATCCACCAACTGCAAGGGGCCCACATGCCCAGTAATTCATTTTGAATACCAGAACTGAAGCGAGTTCAGGGTTATTCCTCACAATCCACACTCACATCCCCCCCTCCATTTCTTAATTTCCACAGGACAATTTAGGATGGAAGGATCATTTGTTGCTGTTGTTTTTAAATGATTCAGAGTCAGAAAGCCTCACTGATTTCCTGCAAGTCACTGAGGTATCCTAGCGTTTGTTTAGCACATATGTGCCCTATCTTTCTTGCTCAAAGCAGTGTACATGGGGTTCTCAGTTGGCCTGACATCTGGGCACTGATGAGATCCAGGATTGCTGAGTTTCATTAATGTGGTTGCCCCTTGCACCCTCTGAACACTCACTGTAGACCCATCTCTACCTTCTGTCCATTCCTACTGTGTATATGGAAAACTTATTTCATGAATTTGTTGGGCTGTATCATCATCATCATCATCATCATCTCATATCTTTCTCTGTGTGTGTGTGTGTGTGTGTGTGTGTGTACACGTATTGTACACCCTACCCTATATAAAGCTGACACTACTTACCTACTTTGCAGGATCAGTGTAAGCATTAATGAAATAATGTACATGGCGCCCTTCAAATGCTCAGGGGAACAAAGGTATTATGATTCTTGTGGGTTCCTCTTGGGAGAACTAGTCATCACTCCAAGAAGACAAGATGGATGCAAGACAGCATGAGGGCTAGAGGTTTTATGGGACGGGGAGAGCTGAGAGAGTGTGTGTGTTGTTCTTTTTAAAAGAGATGGCTGTCAACAAAGGCTCCAGCTTACCAGCTCACTAGTACTTGGAATATGAGCTGTATTCACAACTCGCCTCTGCAGTCCTGATCAAGAGTTTTTGCACAAGCAGTGCCTGACATATCAGGTGGGGTGTTATATCCCTAGAAAATGCAGTAATGCATACAAGAAACACTTGCTGCATGGCGTTATTCCAGCCTCAGAAGACTTCTGGTGAACTGTTGTGCTGCCTGTTGAGATAGCTAGGAACCTGTCTGCCCCTGATGCAGAGCAGAAACTTGTGTGGGATCCTGATAATGGGTTCCTTTATCTTTACCTAAGCGGCAGGCTCAAGCCATGCTCTCCTAACATCTGAGGCTCTTGGTCTGCTACAAGCATTTTGTCACTCGCTTCCATGCTTCAGTTAATGAAGCTGAGGGAATCTGATTGCAGATCTTGCTCTGAGCCAGCTCTGCCTTTTCAGCAGCTATCTGTCATGCAGCACATGGGGGAGCAGGGAGGCAAGTCTTGTACTCACTCTACAGCTTTGTTTATGTTCTAGTGGTGGAAAATGGAGGATTCTTCAGACCCATCATCTTTTGGGGTCTTGAATGTGACCCAGCCTGAAGGGGCTCAGCAAGTCAAGCAAGAATGGGATGAAGCCTGCTGGGACCTTGACTTTCTTCTGAGAAACTTCTCTGTTGCAGAGCAGAACACTGGTATTCCTTGGGTAGGCCAGGAGGAAAAGCCATTTTTGTCTGTCTCCCAGACAGTAACTACTGAGGAAGAAACTAGGGAGAGTCTCCCAGGAAGCCATAGGGTCCCAGAAGTCCCCAGGACCTCAAGTTTGGGCACTGGATTCTCACCAGGAGAAAACTGTGTGGACTGTAGCCCTGCCTTGCACAGCTTTGTCCAGGAGGTGACAGATCCTAGTAAGGGTCTGGTACAGTCTGGTGATCAGGTGCAACAGTTCCTTACCCAGGTGGACTATGGGGTTCCTGCTACAGTGGGGCAGCATCATGGGCAGTCAAAACAGAGAGCTTATGGACAGTATTACCAGATGACCTATGAGGCGTATATGCACCCAGGTCCCCCTTCACTAGGCAAGCATGCTCCTTACAGCCCACTCCTACCAGTGCAATCGCAGCTGCAGCAGTGCAGCCTGCTGACGGGCTATTATCCCTTTCACCACGGCCAGTACCAAGCCCGAGTCCAGATGTACCAGACAGATACAGCTCTGCCACCTTTGCCGCTTCTGGGGCTCCTGACACCTCCCTTGCCTGCCAAGGAAACCACAGCCAAGCCAAAGAAGGGACACAGATCCTGGTCACACAAACGGCCTGCAAACCATCTCTGCAGTCATCCCAGCTGTGGCAAGACCTACACCAAGAGCTCGCACCTCAAGGCCCATCTCCGCACTCACACAGGTAAAAAAAGAAAATAAACTGGGATGCTTTTCCTCGGTTCTGAGTGTCCATTGGGAGTTCTTCTTAGCAGGTGTTATTGTCAGGAGCTTCAACCTGCCACTGTACTTGCCATTGGTCCTGCTTTAGGTTTCCATTCTGGTCACCCTTCTCCCTATCTGAGTACGGCATGATGCCTTTGTGAGGAGGACCCAGGGCCCCTGCCAAGCCTGGGATGGAGAAATGCTATATACTGAGTCCTTACTCGCATCCCCTTGACCCATGGATGTTGGGCTTTAGACCTTTAGAAGCTTTCCACCCTCTCTTGGGTGAGATGTAGCACAAAGATACAGTGATGCTTGCTCTTCTTTTCCAGGTGAGAAGCCATATCACTGCACATGGGAAGGTTGTGGCTGGAAATTTGCCCGCTCAGATGAGCTGACTCGCCACTTTCGCAAGCACACGGGGCAGCGCCCCTTCAAGTGCCACCTCTGCCAGCGTGCTTTCTCCCGCTCAGATCACCTCTCATTGCACTTGAAGAGGCACTTGTGAGCTGGATTGCAGTGGATGTTCTGTAGCAACCAGAAGAGCCAGCACAGTGGGCTATTGGCAGGGTGAGGGATTGATGGGGCAGTAAACCTTTCTTTCCCAGCAGCCCCTTGTGTGTGTATTTATTTCCAAGAAACAGGGCAGGCCTTTCGTTACAGGTTTGTTAGACATGTGTTCCTTGAGTAAAGGCTGTTGGAACCTCAAATGTATTAATATTTCCTCTTTTTCCCTCCCAATAAAAAAGCTTAACACAATCCTGATGCATAGGGCAAAAGTGATTGCATTATCATTCTTTCAAACAAACTTGGGCACCTCACTTGTTTGGGTCTTTCCTCCATGTCTGCTTCTGGATGGTTCCTAGGCTTCTAGGAAACAGGAGCTTCCTATATGTTATTTTTCTAACTCTGTTAGCATCCAAACAGACTACTCTCCATTCTGCAGTTCCTGAAAATGATCCTATGGACTTGACATGCCACTAAGTTTGGGCTAGTGCCAGAGGGGTGTGCAGAGGGAGTCTAAGGTAGCACTAGACTGGCAATTGTCTGGCAGATTCTTTGGCATGTCCTTGTGTAATTGGAAATTGGCCAAGGATCACAGCTTTCTCTTCTAAACTGAGTGGTCCCTTAAGTGCTGACTGGTGTGGTTTGTGATGAAAAATGGTGATGTTCTACAGTGGCTTTCCCCAACTTGGATGTCTAGCCCTCTACTTGCTCTGGATCATTCCTAATCTTGGGCCATGCTGGCTGAAGCTCATTGGAGCTGAATCTCAAAATAGGTGGTGGGCACCATGTCGGGAGCACCTGCTCTAAATTTGCTGGTTCAGATATTTGGATGAGGGGTGGGACCTTTACTCTCTGGCAGGCAAAGAATTTGCATAAGGTAACAGGGCAGCTCCCTATTCCCCACTCTCCTGACCTTGTGATTGTAGCTGCAAAAGTATCAAGCGATGCTGTGAAAAGAAGACAGTGTTTGAAACCTGCCTCTCTTTCACAGGTGGACACAGGGTTGTGCCTCTTTTCTGTCCAGGATTGCTGGTGGGGCAGCCTGCCCCCTCACAGAGTTAGCAAAAGCTTTTTCTTTCTTTGTTTTGAGATCAGGCCAGGCTTCAAAGAAATACTTGGTTCTTTTTGTTGAAGAAATCCTAGAAAATTTATATTAAAGTGGCCCTGTCGTGCACCGTTTCAGAATGCACATGCTACTCTATGTTCGTGATCGGCATTTACCTGCACTTGTGCAAAAGGCAATATTGATCAGTCCTGCTGCGCTCTAGACTCAAGGTCTAGAGACCAAGGGGAAAGGGGAAGAGTTCAGAAGAGGGCTGGCTGACATTGATGATGCATGAATGTCCTCAAAAGGCAGAAAAGGGACAAGTACCCGTTTTTGTTTTTAAAGGATATTTGATGGAAGGCCACACTGTGAGTAGAAAAGTGTGCATTGCTACAACAGAAGATATGAGATATGGAAAGGCCTGGAAATTCCAAGAGATATTTTATGAATTCCATGACTACATGTAACATAATTTTGCCAGGATTCAACATTAGACTTTCAGGGAACAATGGTGTATTGTCTCTGCTTAGTGCAATTTCCACAGAGGCATCTCTTCAATGTTCAGTGGTGCTTAGTTTGGTTCCATTCAATAGAAACTTTGATTGGCTAAACATAGTGCTGCTCTCAGAGGACCTATTGGGGTGCTTCTAGAAAGACAACTTGTAGCACTATCAGTCAAAAGACACTTTACTGCCACGTTGGCTTTTCTTCTGTAATGGATATTTTGTGGAAAGGAAAATTCATGGGAAAACACATTAAGGTTGGAAAAAGAAGACAAATGAAATTTTGTAAATTAAGCAAGGTGATTGTACAATAAACACCTTATTTGAAAGTACCCCCCCACACTCACTCTCTCTCTCTCTCTCTCTCTCTCTCTCTCTGCAGGTTCCTTGCATACGCGCACCAATACCTGCTCTTCAATGTGCAGGCAGCCATAAGATTTTAAATGTGGTGGTTGTGGTTTAAGCATGCAATCAAAACACTTCGCTTTAGGGCAGAGAACCATGTTCAGATCTTTCCACTAGCTTTCAAATAGTGCAGCAATCTTCACTCTGAACATTCAACTGTACCTCAAATGTTTGGCCTACTGCCCTGCTGTTACTGCAGGGAGCATGTTTGAAAGGCACTTTTGATGGAAGATCAGCACAAGCTCCAATTTGGAGTGTGCAGGTGTGATGGGCTGCCTCAGAAGCCCATGTCTGGTTTTCCTTGAAATAAAATACGCATTCTTTAAAAAAGCATGATAGATTACACAATAGGAGGCTTTGTATGACACATTAGTTCACCCGGAGCATCCAACAAACAGTTGGGCACTTTGTGGGTCCCTCCGTCCTCCCACAAATATTCCAGGGGCCACTGCAAGAGTACCAAGGTCCTTTCCCTGCCCACCACTGTGGGGCATGCTCAGATTTTGTGCACAGCTTCACAGGAAAAAGGCTACATGACCTGATAAAGCCTATGTGATTATCTGACGCATGCAGGCTCAGAAGGATCACACTGCAGTATTTTTATACCCAGTGAGCTTTTACAGGAGTTGTTTACTAGTACATAGGTATAAAAGATGATTGCTCCTTAGGAGGGATAAATGCCTCAACGTGGTTGTTAAGAATTCCCCTTTTCTGGAATAAAACTTGCTCCTGTTGCTTACAAAGAAGCCTCTCCTGTTCAGTCTCACTGGGGTGGGCGCCCCAGAACCAAACCTAGCCTTTTGCTATACCAAGAGCTATCTTCAGCTCACCATGTCTTCTTCTCATTTTTAAACTTCTTTCTGGAGATTGTTGTCCCCATTTGGGCAACTACAAACAGACCCTCCAGGATTCCATAGTTTAGACAGGTTTCCTGTGGCTGTATATTTTTTAAATCAGAATGCATTAAGTTGTATGTATAAAAATTAAGAAGTTTTTAGACTTTTTGAACAAAAACCAGGACCCCCATGGCAGCAAAGTACAGTTGCCACAGGGCTCCAAATAGAGGGCTAGTTCTAGCCACTCTGAAAAAAGTTTTAAAAGGGCGCCTAACTATGGGCAGCTCCTCTGATGCACTTTAGAGGGAATGCTTTTAAGCACAAAAGCTGGGATCATGAAAGTGGCTTGATAGCTGCCTTTTGTGATCTGGAAAAAAATTTAAAGGAACTCCAAGCAGTGATGAGCCCAAGAGCTGCAGTGAGGAAAAGTGGACCCTGGTGCCCTGTGGTTTCCCCTGGGATATCAGAGGGAGGGCTGGCCCAGCAGAAGGGCAGGGCCCTGCTCTCCACATCATGGCTGCCTCGTTGTCGGCTGCAAATTGTGCCTTGTGTCAGGCAAACCCCCACGCTATGTCAAATCTCAATGACTGCCTAACTGATGAGGAGCAAGAAATATGTGTGCAAATATCTTGAAGTCATATCCTCTTGTCTAAAGACTTAAATTTGTTCCAAAGATCATTCACATACATTTTTGAACTGTTTCTTGTAGAAGTGATCAACTAGATTCACTAAAGAGTCACCTTTCAGCCTTGCTGTGGTGGCTGACCTAGTTCAGTTTATCCTTTTTTAAAAAGCAGATCATATAGGAGTAGTATGTTGCATGCTGTAAAAACACTGATCTGAAATATTTCCCCTGACATCTGATTTTCTGTATCATATCCTTCCATGTAGAAGGAACATTCTGTGTTGAAGACTGTACAGTCGTGTGGACCATGCCTGCGCTCTGAAGTGGCACAGCTCAGCTTTACCACTTCAGTGAAAAGTAAGCTCTGAAGGCAATTGTCCTTCTTGCTTAGGAAACTGTTGGCAACTGTTGTGCATCATGTCTGCATTCTGATGCCATCCCTGGGATGATAGGACCAATTAAACAGCAGAATGGCCATCTTCCAAGATGAAGTGCAAAACAGAAATATGCCAAATATGACCCCATTTTTTAAAAAAAAAATGTGGATGTTTGCTTTATTAATTCTAATTACCTGGAAATAGCATCTAGCAAAACTCCCTTCTCTTTGGTAATGATGGGGTTGAAACATCCCTAAAAGCCATTATCATTTCTTGCCTTCTATGGCAGTAAGACTACAAAGTACCTCATCATGCTTTACTTTTTCAGCCCATGTGATGTTGTGGTTAAGAGTGCTGCAGATCTGGGTTCTAGTCCCCACTCAGCCAGGAAGCCCCCTGGGTGACTTTGGGCCAGTCACTACCTCTCAGCCTAACCTACCTCACAGGGTTGTGAGGACAGAACAGAGAGGAGGAGAACCTTGTAAACCACCTTGGGTTCCTTTACTGGAGGAAGAAAGGCAGGATATAAATGCAATGTAACAACAACATCAATAATTCCATCATACAGCTTACAGATTATTTAAAATTTAAATTACAAATTCTGCACAAATTCAACACAACTGAAAATGTAATTGTTGAAACTCCCCAGATACTACATTTCTTGTGGTGTGTTATGATTCAAAGTGTTATGGAACTGTATTCCTTTAAATGTTGGTAAGTTTCAGAAGAGCTTACATACAGTAATCAAATACCTCAAATAGAGTAATCAAAGGGACAGTGGAAACTGGTCATAGCCACCATGAAAGTTGCAAATGTGTCCCATAACACTGTCATCCTTTTTCTTGCTGTGAAACATCAGTTAAAGAAGAGATGATGGAATAGCTTCCCAGTGCCTTCTGAGTGATAGTGATGGGATTTTGCCATGTGGAAGCACTCGCAGTTAACAAGAGAACAGGAGCACCTTAACTCCCTCTCCAAAAGCTGCTCAAATATGGTCAAGGTCTGTATCTCCAGGGAGTTCCACAGCTCTAAAGTAAAAATTCACACCACTCTGCAAACACATCTTGCTCCAGTTTGACCTGCATATAGGACAGGCAGGAAGGAGCTGTTTGCGGATTTTATTATAGCAGAATTCTAAGCCGAAGATGTATTCAAGGCTAGCATGGCTGGGCTAAGTTGGTTGCTAAGCAACCCATGGCTGTGTGACGGTAACCAGGCTTGGTGATGAATCTCAGAAGATCTGTTGGGCTGAGCTGTGTGGCAACCACAAGGTCCCAGTTTTTCTCCGACAAGACCCAATTGGCAGAAAACAGGTAAAATGCTTTGTGAGTCTTCCTCTAGTGTTCACAGCAACAAGTATGGTGTCTCACTTTGAAGTATTCATTCTCCTAATCTGCATCAATTTTTCGTTTGCATATTTGAGATGCATGCTTTTTTGAAGTATGTCCATCCTTGTTCTAAAACCATATTAGTGTAATACCATGATTAGGCTGACCAATAGATCACAAAAAATGTGTAAGCTTTCAAGATCTCCAGAACATTTAATCAGGCAAAATGTTATGAAACAGGGAGAGGTGAATGAGTGAGGGGTGAAATGACCCCATAGCAGAGTCCCAAGACTGAATGTACAGCTGTCCCTAGGGCTGCTAGGAGCAAGTAATGTTGGATTCTCCATTTCTGAAAATATAAAACCTGGTTATTTTCAACAGTATTTCCCATCACAATCTAGTTAACTGTTTCCACTCCTCTCCTAACCCACCTGTTTTTATAACAGCTTGTCTGCCTAATGGAGCAATGTGGAGTTCTCAAATGCTTGTACAATTTTTGTGATCTTTTAGTTGGCCTAATAAAAAGTAGTTTATCAGTATGGTTTTAAACTTTTTCTTATTGTCAACATAACTTCCTTTGCTTTTTATGATGTAGTGGTTTCTCTTTTCTCTCCTACACTTGCTTCCCCTCCTCATCCAGAATAGTTTGATTTCCCAACTGTTTTTCAGGGACGCCAAAGTCCATGTGAATTGAGTTCTAGAAGAGAAGCTGGCCAACTGTGGAATTAAAGATCATGGATGTGGCACTGGGTCCAGGCAACACACTGAAGCAAGGAGGACCTGGGTGTGTTTCTGAAACTTTCCATTTGTAACCTGACAGTGAGAGAACTGATTGTCAACCAGGGGGTTGTTAAATCCGCAGGAAGGACATGCTAGGAAATCAGACATCCCCAGTTCAGCAGCTGAGGAGCAATGAGGGCCAAACGAGAGGCAAGAGCATCCCTATCTCTATTGTTTGGTGGTTGTTTAAAAAATAAATATGTGGTGGGGGAAGAGTTAACCAGATGGGGATTGTGGCATGGTTGGGGGGGACCTCAAGTTCCCGACCCTGCCGCAGATCCTATGGCCTGTAAGAGCTTTCGTTCCACTGCAAATAGCAAGCATGTGTGAGAAGAGACCCTAAATTCCAATCCAGATCATGGTGCTGGTGGCAAAGAGTTAAAGCCCTCCTCCCACCCTGCCATGGTTTAAATATGCTTGGCTACTGCTATCCTATGCCTGCTGCTTAATTTGCTTAAAAGTGGCTATGCAAAGGCTAAAGACATGAGTAGTGTCCCATCGGTTCTGTTACCAAGAGTAATAGAACCAAACTTCAAAGAGTGGGTAGGTGGGAAGAGGGAATTCTCATTAGGGTCGTCTTCACTAATGACACTGGAGGATTGAACTGAGTGCATTTAATAATAGATTCACAGAAATAAAGCTGTGAATTCAGTAAAGCTGACAGGGGCCATGGTTTACCTACATAAAATATGACAGTGGGATAAAAATACTTGCAAATATGCATAAGGGACAGTATTTTCCCCTCTTGTTAGGGCAGGAAAAGGAAGAAACTGTTTCAGCCTTTAGATGAGTAGATTTACAGTCTGATTTCTGCAAGAAGCTTAGAATTATTGTATGTGCCTGTGGGGAATTTCAGCTATAAAAAGTGTTTAAGGAGAAGAGCAAATATCTTGTCTCCCTCTCCCTCTGACACAGTGCCACAGTTCCCTTTCTTCATCCGCAACCTCAGCAGCTGCAGTGTGTAAAACAGGAATGGAGACTGGGTGACCTTTCAGATCTCGCTGGCTTGACAACTCCCAGCTTTCCTCATCTTTGGCTATTCTGCTCGCTGAGGTTGATGGGTGGTCAGTCCACTAACATCTGCAGGGACACTTGTTCTCCATTCTTGATGTAAAATAAAAGAACACTCCAAAAAGGATCACAAAACTACACAAAAGGCAAGGCAGGCAATTATCAGGTATCTGTCTTTAGGCACAAATCAGAGTTGAGGAACCAAGAGTATCACTCACTAATCTGACTGCTTGGATTTCACAGGAATGCCTATAGCATGCATTCACAGCTCACTCAGTCTCTTCCAATCTAAATCCAGGAACTTTGAAGAAGAGAATGTTTGGCTGCAGGAGTGGATTCATGAAGAACTTGCCCAAGGTGAAATCTGGCAGAAGCAATACGAGGCACTGTTGGGGCATCAGGCCCAGCTCTGCTCCTTGCTACAAGCCAAGAGGTAAGAGACACCCCACAGTGTTGCCATTCTTCCTTTGAGGGGCTGGGGAGAACATGGGTATTGAAAATTGGAAAGAGGGCATGAGCAACTGCACAAAACTGTATGGTGGCTGTTCAGTATTTGCAGCAGAATGGGTATAGAGATTTTCAGGAAAGACTTCCTCTGCTTGTTGTCTGACTATTAGTCAGCTGTCAGAAAACAGCTGCAACCAAGTCTCTGGTTAATATCTTTCGTCCATTTTTGGAGACCGGGTTTTCACAGTGGCATAATTTAAATCAAACAAACAAATTCTACAGAATTGCATAGGATCAGAGAGCATACCTCTCAGATTAGGTAAAATAGTCATTTGTGGCTAGAGTGGGTGAGGAGCACAGTGTTATAGGTCAGTTCTGCCTTGCAAGTGTGAAGTGGAAGGAGCCAATGTCTGGCAGAAAGGCCAGGGTACTTTTGAAGAACTTGTCATCAGACTCCTGCCACAGTAGGTCCTGCAGACAGCACTAATGTCTCTCCTTCACAGTCTTACAGCCCTGGAGAAGAAGACCCAAACACTGCAGGAGGAGCTGGAAGAAACCCAGGAGGCCCTGCGGGAGTTCCAGAATCGGAGCCGCCAGCGCCAACTGAACATCAACAAGCAAGTAAGACTGCAGAGGAATTTTGAGCATCCTTTCTTGTGTCCATAAACTCTTCCATAGGCCCGTCTCCCTTATCCTTCACAGCCATTTATTTCTTCATGTTGAGGGAGATGTGAAAATAGTTGCATGGCATCATGTCTTCTATCTTACAAATTTGTGCTCAGAGGAGGGCAGGAAAGCTGGCCACAGAATGGCCCTAAGATGACTAGCTGATTGGGACTTTATTAAGAAAGAATCCCTTCTGATTTTATAGGGTAGACACACATCCATGCCCACCACCTAAATTCTCATGCTCTGATCCAGCATGCCGGGATTTTATCTGTAGTTGATCTCCTTTCTCTTCTGGTACACCCCTCTGCAGACCTTTTTACTAAATTATTTAGTATGTCCCTAAAATCAGCCTTTGTACCAAAGGATTGAAGAGTGGCCAATGTAACACCAATTTTTTAAAAGTTGTCCAGGTGGATCCAGGGAATTACAGACCAGTTAGCTTAACATCTGTTGTGGGTAAACTGCTTGAAACAATTATTAAAGATAGAACCAGTAAGCACATAAAGGGACAAGCCCTGCTGAAAAAATAATTACCATGGCTTCTACAAGGGAAAGTCTGGTCTCACTAGCCTTTTGGAATTCTTTGAGAGTTTCTTCATCACTGTGGTCTGGGCTAGACTGGCAATCTAGTAGACATTATTTACTTGGGTTTCCAAAAGGCTTTGATGAAGCCCCTCGCAAAAGTTTCCAGGACAAACTAAGCAGTCATGGAATAAAAATGAGGGGAAGGGGTTCTCTTATGGATCACTTACTGGTTAAAGAACAGAAGACAGAGTGGGAATAAACAGTAATTTCTCCCAAAGGAGAGATGTCACCAGTGGTATCCCACAGGGTTCTGCATTAGAACCAAGGCTTTTCAACCTATTTGTAAAGGATTTAGAATTAAGAATAAGTAGGGAGGTGGCTAGGTTTGCTGATGACACCAAACTATTTAAGGTGGTTAAAACCAAAAGGTATTGTGAGGAGAGCCAAAGGAATTTCTTCAAGCATGGGCTTGAAGGGAGAATGGGCATCAAAATGGCAAATTTCGTTCAGGGTAAGCAAGTATAAAGTGATGCATGTTGGGGCTAAAAATCACAACTTCAAGTATAGGTTTATGGAATTTGATTCAGTTCTGATTAGCTAATCTGAAAAGGGGCAGTATTGAGTTGGAAAAAGTACAGAGAAGGGCAACAAAAATGATCAGGAAGCTGGAACAGCTCCCCTGTGAGGAACAGCTATGGCAACTGGGACTGTTCAGGTTAGAAAAAAGGCAAGCGGGAGGGAACATGCTAGATGTACTTAAGATAATGCATGGTGTGGCGAAAGTGGAGAGAGAGACATTTTTCTTCCTCTCCCATAACACCTGAACTTGAGGTCATTCCTTGAAGCTGATTTTGGAATTTGCTGCCATGGGAAGTGGTGAAGGCTAGCAACTGGGATGGCTTTAAAGGAGAACTGGACAGATTCCTGGGGGAGGAGGCTATCGGTGGCTACTAGCCTTGCTAGCTATGTATAGTCTCCTTTACCAGAGGCCGCATGCCTGCTACAGAGTTTGTGCAGGCTGAAATCTCACACCCATCCTGCTTGAAGGATCCTCTTGGCAACTGGTCTGCCATTGTGTGTTTGGAATGCTGGACGTGGTGGACCTTTGGTCTGATCTAGCATGGCTTTTCTCATATTCTTACATTCTTAGTTCTCTTCCTCCGCCTTGTAACAGTTACCTCTGGCCAGAAATCTAATAGATAGGATCCAAACTCTATTTTGGTGCAGTGGGCTGGGGCTAAATAAAAGATAAACTGGTTACATTCTTTTAGAGTTAATAATCAAAGCTTTTGAAAATCACTGTTTTAAATGGTACTTATAATGTATGCTCTGTGTCCCAAGCGAGGTTTGCCTGGTGCTTTCCTTGCAGTCTTTTTGGTGCCAGGTGAAAACCTTTTTATTTCAATGGTATTTTAATTGTTGGCTTTAAGTAGCATTTTAACTATAGGTATGTCATCATTGTGGTGCATTTTATATTGGTTTTAATGTTTTTATTTGTAATTGTTTTTATTGTATTTAATCTCTATTTTATTCTATTTTGTATTTTTATTTATTTGTTGTTTTGCTATAACCCAGGGAGCCTTGTGGCTGATGGGGTGGGTTAGAAATTTAATAAATAAATAATAAAGCATTCTTATAAACTGCTCACTTAATGTTCTGTTTCTGAACCCAAAACTTCCCTTTACAGGAACAATGACATTTCAACTCCCATAAAAACCCTAAAAATCATGCTACTCTAGATGCATTCATTCTACTCCATATTCTTGTTAACTGAATTCCTACATAAATTATCAGAGAAACAAAAAGGTATATTTAGGTCTTGGTATTCTTATTGCAGTTTGGCTTTGATGAACAAGCTACATTTAAAAAAAAAATGCCTTTTGAGTTGGTGCAGCATAAAGACTGCAGGTCCAGTTCTATCCATGTTCAGGCAGAAAAAAGTTGTGCAGCTCCCAGCATTTCCTTGCCAGTCACACCGGCTGGGGGATGTTGGGAGCTGCGGGCCTTTTTTTCTATCCAGAAAAACACTTACTTGTGCCCTAAGGCTGCACTCCCTTGCCCACTCACCTGGGAGTAGCTCCAGTAGAACTCAGTGGGCCTTACTAGGATCGCACACTTACAGTTTCAGTTCAGGAATTCCTAGTATTGCACCAGGCCATGCCCAAAAGGGGGAACCCCCGTCCCAGTCTTAGAATTTTCTTCTCTTCATTAAATTATAGGAAAAGGAAAATAAGAGAATGACTGAGACAGTTAAAGATCTGGAAAGAAAGGTGAGTCTGCTAATGAGGCAAAAGTGCAGCTAACAGGGACTGATGGGTCTGTGGCAATCCGAGACTGTTGGATTGCTAAAACTTGTCCCACCCTCTTTTTTGTGCTTTCATATATATTTGTATATATTTTTCCAGGCATGTTACATTTCTTCAATGCAGTTTTGTGTGCACTTTTTTCAATATGTGTGTGCACGCCTTCCTCCAGTACAGCTGCGGGGAAGGGGCATTTTTCTTGAGATAAGCAGCATCATGAAGCTTGCAAATCTGCAGATTTTAGTATGTAACTCTGTCTCAGCTTGCCCAAAGGCCTGAGATGGATCGATTGTGTGCATCCGTTAAAAAAACCCCAAAAATCCTTGGCAGAGCACATTTCTCACCTATCACCAAAAGCCAGCCTGCATTGTTTCCATCCTTGGCTCCTGACTGTAAGGCCCAGGTCATACATACAGCAGAAGCAAGTGATTCAAATGATGCTCATCAGTAGCACTTCAGATTGCAAGGGAGGAGTTATTTGTCTGATGACCCAAGTGAAAATTCGCTTCATGTAGAAAATTCACTGCATGTAAACTACTGTGTAGAAGAAGAGGGCTTGGCCATTTCCCGGGCATGCTTTTGATTTATGCTCAAGGAATCTTCTATATGCATTGTGCAACATTTGAGTATTCAACACTTCATTGGCTGCCTTAAGTTGAAAAACACAGGAAAGCATCAGTACTTGATTCTCATGCAAATAAAGACTGGATCCTAATGGGAAATGAGGGTGAGAGTGGTAAAATGCACCTGCTGGTGGGTGAGATGGGATTGCACTGCCAACTGCTGCTACTGCTTTCTGTTCCTAATTCCAGCTGAGGAAATGGTTTGGAAGCCCCTCCAGACACGGGAAGGGGAGTTTTCTGAATCAGAAGAGCAACATTAATGGACTTTATGTTACAGTTCCTGATATTAGCCATATGGTTTTATACAAGGATGCCCCCTAAGAAGCAACCACCCTTGCTTCTTAGGGTGTGGTCTCCTCCCATTTTCTTTACTGGCCTTGCCTTGTCATCTTGTCACTAGAGGAAGGAGGAATGATGGGGAGGGCTCAGACATTAGGGGAGGAGCCATGATATGTCTGACCCTTCCTTGGACATAGCACGCAAGTTCTGATGTGGCAGATACAGCACTGGTATTTCTAACTGCTGGGCTCCTTATGAAGCTTGTTCTTAGTAGGACACAGTAGGCAGGGCTTGGACATGATGTTGCCTTTATTCTCTAGCAATTTCCCCATCGTTTGTCTCCTTTTCCTTCATTTGTTTCTTGTACTCTTCCCTCTTGTATCTTCTTACCTCAACCCCTTTGCTCTCCTCTAGTGAGCTCCTGTTGAGACCAGCTCCTGAAACATAAGGGGATGCCGGGGTGGGTGGAGCGAACTGCAACTACAAGAATGCAATGGCTGCTATTGTCACCGGCAGACCCCAGGCTATTTCCTCAGCCAGTTGACTGGATTTTTCTGGAACAGCAAGAGCAAAGAATGGGCCAAATGCCTTGGAACCCTACAGGGGTAAAGGCATGTATGGCAAGGGGGAAGGTGTGGGGATGAGCAGTTTTGAGGCTGGTGCCAAGCATAATGCTTTAGGCAGACTGGCTGGCATAAAAAGGCACAAGAAAAACCACACTGGATAAAAAATGTGTGTTTGATGCAGTGTTCTGTGTGCTATAGACATGTGCCTCAGTGAGGCCCACAGGCAGGGTGCAAAGGCAACAGCCTTCCTCCATGGTTTGTTCCCAGGAGCATTTGGGTTCTGCCTCCACTGAACATGGAGACAGAGTTATTCTACATGAATTTGTCTGACACCATTTTGGAGGACAGGTGAGGATGGGTAGGAAAGCCAAAATGTTCCAGGACCCAATACAATAAGCCAGGAATTCATATTTTTGCTTAGGGAGCCAACATGTTTGAGGCCATGCTGCTTTTGCCTAGTGGCTCTCTGCTTCCCACTACCAAGGAAAGTTTGCTTCAGCCAAGTATCTGCAAATTTTATTCATGTGGTTCTAATCAGGTGAGAGCTTTTGGAATCTTAGTAGGGAACGTACTGCCATACATACTTAATATCGCATGTATGATATTGCAAGTAATATCACAAATGTTCCAAGCATAGAACAATGCTTAAAAGTGTGCGACTTTTGCTAAAATGATCACAAAATGGTTGCTGACCTAGCTTTCAGTTCTTTAAGGGGCTCCCCAAGAGATTGCATCCTTTTACATTCCCACTCCTGAAAATGTTGGCTTGTCATACCATTGCAGGTCTTCAAGCAACAGTTGGAGGAGAAGTCCAACAAGGACATCCTGAAGGAGCTGAGAACAGAAGGCAATGAACTGAAGGTGAGCTCCAGAGGCTTTCTATTTCTGGGTATAAGGACCAGCTAAACTGGGAAAGTGAAGAAGGCAAACTTAGCAACAATGGTAGAATCCAGTCACAGAGTACTTTTACAGGTAGGATAAGAGTGTTAGAATAAGTAGTCATGTGCAAAGTTTGCTACTGTAGACATCAACTGGCCCCAGTAAATCACAGGCTCTATTTGCTTTCTGGGAAGTTTTTACAGATGTCTGAGTTAAGGGATCGTGACAATGCCCATATAAAAATCTTGTTAGTATAAGCTGCTAATACTTCTAGTTTCACCCTTTTTTCTGATGTTAAACCACTGAGAAAGGAGCAGATGCGCCCCGTCTCCATTGCAAACATGTACACGTGAGGTGCTTCCAAGCCACAGAATTGTTCTGGGGTAGTGGTGTTCAGACAACATTATCTTCCATTCATAACCCTCCAGTGTTTTCCCACCATTTCTTCCTTCTTAAGATAAGATGAAGAAAGTGTAGAAAACACAGAAGGGTTATGAATGGATCTTGTTAATAAACAACCCCCCTGTGAAATTTCATGAATGGGCAGCCTCATCTGGAAACATCCGTAGAATTCTAGGGTCGTATCCCTAATTTGAGACAGAAGTAGCATCCAGACTTACTGGGATTAAAGGGCAGCTCAAGTGGTGGCTGGCTGGCTGGGCTCGTGCATTTGAATGTGGGGCACTGCAGCAAGATTGTTTTGTTTCTTTCCAACTCCATAGAGGCACTTGTCTGAATGGGAGGCCAAGTGGCAGACAAAGCATGACAGGATCAAACAGGTAAACTCAGCTAGTCAGGATAGGCACATTCCTTTTTATCTTTGGCTCAAATCAAAGTTAAGGCAGGACTAATTCTGAACAACTATCAGCTGTACAACTTGGCACCTTTGTTGGTGTATTGATATTATACCAATATAATCTATTAAGGTCTCGGTCACTAACATGTTCTAGTCACCTGCTCTTAGGTTTTGTGTAGGGATATGTTACAAAAGAAAGGAAGCTTGAAGGCAGCATAGAAGGCTGGGAAAAGTTGGATTGTTCAAAGTTTTGAGGGGAGTATGATTGAGGCTTCCAACGTACATCAGGGCCTCTTCCCCACGGCACCCTGTTTCCTAGAGGGGCCTGGCAGATGGCTCTGAAATGTGCTCAAGCATGGTGTGAGGTCAATAGCACCTCCTGTTTGTCACGTTTCCTAGCTTTCTTTGCTAATAGAGCCATCAACAGCCTTCTCCTTAATCAATTACTCTTCTCAGTTTTAAAGCTGTTGAAGCTTGTGCCTGCACTACCTCTTGTAGTGGCAATGCAAGATGTTAAGAAGTACATTCTCACGTCTCTCCTGAGTCTCCCGCATTCAGCTTTACTGGTTAACCCCAATGCAAAGCGCAGCAGGACGGAGAAAAAGCTTACAGTTGGTATTGCTGCCACACAGGGGAGTAGCGCTATGCCCCATAATGTGAATTTTTAAAAAGTCATTTAAAAAGTCCTTTCTGGTCACTTCTGTTAATCTGCTGGCCAAAATTGAAGAGCTTTCCCCATCATTTATTTAAATGTAATAGCATTTTAGGGCTATAATACTTTTACACTGGTATCTCAAGAACACACACAAGAAAAGCCACATAGGATCAGACCAAAGGTCCCTCTAGTCCAGTGCTCAATGCACACCATGGCAAACCAGCTGCCCGCAGGATCCCTCAAGCAGGAAGGGTGCAAGACCTCCACCTGCCCAAATTCCTCAGCAACTGGTGCATATAGGCACTTTACCTTTGCTAAAGGAGATAGTGTATAGTTAACAAAGCTAGCAGCTTTGGATAGTCTACTCCCACATGAATGTATCTAATCCCCTTTTAAACCCATACAATTTGGTGGCCATCACCACTTCATGTGGCAGTGAATTCCATAGATTAATTATACATTGTATGAAGAGGTATTTCCTTATCTGTGCTAAATTTCCCACCAGTCAGCTTCATTGAGATGACTCCCAGTGTCTCCCTCTCCACTTTCTCTTCTCCTCTCCTCTCCTCTCCTCATACTGGGAAGACTATGGTCACTGCTGCTCTGAAGTAAATAAACTGCAGTAAACGTGCCTGGGTTCAGTTACTCAATACGTCACTGTCCGTCCATTAAAAAGAATGCGGTGGAGCAGTGCTAATGGCTTATACACAGAACATGCACAGTTATCCCCAGATGTGTGGAAAGTCAGTTGCAATTCCACTTTGTGAGTGTCTGAATACCCCCAAGTTGGATGTCCCAATGTGAAATTGGTTTTTCCTTAAGAATGGTTGTGGGGAGGGCAATTGGAGGTCAACAGGTCTTTTGGCTGAGCCAAGGGCAAAAAAAAGACTTCTGTTTTATTGTGGGGATTTTAGAAACAGCACCGGATTGAGAAACTGAGCAGCACCATCCAACAATTATCTCAGAGGAGCCAGGTATGTCCCGTCTGGCCTCTCTTCCATGTGTCAGGCTTACACCACCCTGCCTAAGATGACCTATTTCTTCATGTCTGCAAAGTGAAGCAATCATTTCAGGGGAAAGACCTGGAGTGCCATTAAGAGACATACACATCAAGGTGCTGGGTTTTTTCCTGCACCAGTGTGAGCATAGGTGGACTGCCTGCTCAATAAAAATAAATATATAAACATTAAAGCGACATAACAGAGTTATTCAGTCGAATGTATTTTTCTTATCTCTTTTAAAAGCAGATGCTATTTGGGGAGATGGGGGTGGAGGCTGTATGTCTGAGCAAAATGCAGTGAATCCTCTTCTATGGTTGGTGCAGTAATGCATCCGAAGCAGGACAATTAGTGGGAAATCAGTGGATTTGGCCATGTCTCTCATACCAGTGAGAGGAAGTAGCACTGAAGTGGGCAAGGGTTGCATCAGAGTGCAGTGAGCTGCCATTTGGCACGTCTGTCTTAGAACCAAAAAGGTCTTTGTGCCAAACTATATGTTACAGTGCACTGGGTTATTCACACTTGTCAACAGGCATGCTTAAACTTGCCATTTTTAGTTTGATGAAAAAAAGCAGACATAGTATCTCAGCTGAGGAGATGTTCCTCATTCACATTGGTCCATCTACCAATGTTGTGCTCCAAACGGCCCAGCTCCCTTCTATTTGCCTCCAATGGTGCTATTTGCTATAGCAGCAGCCAAGGACAGTGTGATTTTCATGTAGCTTGCTCCTTAAAAGCAAATAGCAGTCATGGGCGAGGACTAATTCTGACTGGGAGCAAACCTGCTAAATTCCTTTTGCTGTTCCTAGAAGCATCTGGTTCCCCTTCTGAATGCAGAAGCTGAGGAACTAGGCATATATACCATCTTCAGATTCTCTCTTCCTTTCCAATTAATGGTTGCCTGTAGAGTCTGTAGCCTGGTTCCTTTAACTGGGGTATGGATAGTGAGGATCTCTAAAGCAGAGTTCTTGTTTCCTCCTCTGTCTCTAAAATCATTTTGAAGGAGCTGCACAGAAACATCACCCTTTTGGAAGACAGTGTGACAGAAGTTCAGCACGAAGAGGCGCTGTAAGGATGACCCAACAAATTACCCTGGTGGTTATGATAAGGCAGACAAGCAAGCTGAATGATAAAGGAGTGATCTTGCCAGTATGTTGGTCAGAATGCTGGCTTCAAATCTTATCTTGATCATGAAATGAAGGACCCTGGACAGGATGGTCATAATCTTTTACATTCAGTTCCCTCTCTGAAAAGTATGAATAATAGTTCGGAGGCAATATAACGTGAGAAGCCTTGGGAATATGACTTGGAAATTATAAACAAACAAGAGCAGATATGCCCTGGTTCCTTTTAGAGTGAGCGATATGTTCTGAATGAAAATGCAAAACTTGCACGCTGCTCATTGCATAGGCATTAGTAATGGAGCTTGCTACAGCAGACGGTCCAATGACATAATATCTCTCCACAAAAGGCCGTCAGTCTCTCTGAAACGGGGTCCCCAGGGATGTGCAATGTTGGGATTTTGTTCTGTTTGAGCTTGATAGGAATTCACAGTGTTTCCATTCTTGTAAGTGACACATTTTGCAGGTCTTGTCATTTGCCCAAATGGTAATATGTGCATTATTAGGTTTTGGTGGGAGGATTCTGAAATTTGTATAAAATGGGTTGTTGTTGTTTTAATTCCCTGGTCTTTTGCAAGTGTGCAAGAAGACAGTCAGCTGCCCAATATACATAATTTTGTATTGTCAATTTTCTTGTAACTTTCTGCTGTCAATGAAAACACCAAAGTAGAATAGACAATATGTAAGGAAACTGAGAAGGTGATATAAGCCAATTTTGCCTACACAAGTGAAGGATGGGGTGCAGGGTGGGAGGAGGGGAATAGTAAGACAGAGGAGGAACCACTTAGTGCAATTCTGGAGGACAAATTTTCCCTTCTTTCCAGCCTTTAAATGTGTACAAATTTCCCCTCCATTTACCTTCTAGACTAGAATGATTTAAAGATTTCTGGATTTAAATCCAGAAAAATAATTGGAAAGGGCATTTGTGCAACGGCAGTAACCGTTCTGAGAAAGAGCTAAAAAAAGACAGGAATAACTCCCCTTCCTGGACTACCCAGAGACTTGAAAGACTTGAAAGAGAGGAGGGCACGGACACTCCACAGCAAGAGAATTACACTGCCAGGTGGGACAGATTGTCCTCTCCCTCTTGGGTGCCTGTATTTTGTTTGGATTTCTTTTTCTTTTGTTGTCCCTCAGAACTACACAGAGATTCCCTCCTTTGTCTTACTTTCATGTCCCCCTGGTCCTTCAAAACTGTGCACAAATTAGCTTATTTGTGAGGGCCTCCCACCTCCAGTGGAACCTGTAGAAGGATCTGCAACATGGCGTGTGTGGGCACCTGGGGAATGAAAAAGGTTTCCCCCCACCCCCATGTCTGAGGTATGTACATGGGCTTGTGTGATGTGCACACAACTTTCTAGCTATGCTTTGCCAAAAGCAGATCAAATAACCAAGTAGATACCCCTATGCAACCCCTACATGGGTCACTGCTGTGTCATGGTGAAGGGGCTTGGGTAGCGCAATGAAGCTATGACCTACGTACCGTATGCTGTGCAGGACCACCCAAGATGGACAGGTCATACCTGAGAGCTCTGACAAAAGGTGATCCACTGGAGAAGGAAATGGCAACCCACTCCAGTCTCCCTGCCATGAAAACCCCATGGACAGTACCAAAAGGCAAAAAGATATAATGCCAGAGGATGAGCCTCCTCAGGTCAGAAGGTGTCCAATGTGCTACTGAGGAAGAGCAGAAAGTGTTACTACTAGTAGCACGAGAAAGAATGAAGCGACTGGGTCAAAATTTAGGCTTAAATTGAAGAAAGTAGAGAAAAGCACTAGGCCACTCTGGTATGACCTGAATCATATTCCTGATGAATATACAATAGAGGTGACAAATACATTTAAGGAATTAGATCTGATAGAGTGCCTGAAGAACTATGAACAGAAGTTGGCAACATTGTACAAGAGGTAGCAACTTAAACCATCCCAAAGAAAAAGAAATGCAAGAAAGCAAAATGGCTGTCTGAGGAAGCTTTACAAATAGCTGAGGAAAGAAGGGAAGCAAAAGGCAAGGGAGAAAGGGAAAGATACACACAATTGAATGCAGAATTCCAGAGGATAGCTAGAAAAGAATGCCTTATTCAATGAACAGTGCAAAGAAATAGAAGAAAACAATAGAATAGGACCAGAGATCTCTTCAAGAAAATTGGAGATATGAAGGGAACGTTTCATGCAAAGATGGGCATGATAAAGGACCAAAATGGCAGGGACCTAACAGAGGCAGAAGAGGTGGTAAGATTACACAGAAGAACTATACAAGAAAGAGCTTAACGTCCATGATAACCATGAGGGGGTGGTCACTGACCTCGAGCCGGACATCCTGGAATGTGAAGTCAAATGGGCCTTAGGAAGTCTGAGCAACAACAAAGCTAGTGGAGATGACAGCATTCCAGCTGAGCTATTCAAAATCTTAAAAGACAGTGCAGTAAAAGTGCTACACTCAATATGCCAGCACTTTTGGAAAACTCAACAGTGGCCACAGGATTGGAAAAGGTCAGTTTACATTCCGATCTCAAAGTAGAGCAATGCCAAGGAATGTTCAAACTACCACACCATTGCACTCATTTCACATGTTAGCAAAGTTATGCTCAGAATCCTACAAGCTAGGCTCCAGCGGTATTTGAACTGAGAACTATCAGAAGTACAGGCAGGATTTCGAAGAGGCAGAAGAACTAGAGATCAAATTGCCAACATAGTAATGGAGAAAGCTAGGGAGTTCCAGAAAAAAAGCTAGGGAGAAAGCTAGGGAGTTCCAGAAAAACATCTACTTTACTTCATTGACTATGCTAAAGCCTTTGATTTTGTGGATCACAACAAACTGTGGCAAGTTCTTAAAGAGATGGGAGTACCAGACCATCTTATTTGTCTCTTGAGAAAGCTGTATGTGGGTCAAGAAGCAACAGTGAGAACTGGACACGGAACCACTTATTGTTTCAAAATTGAGAAAGGAGTTTGGCAAGGCTGTATACTGTTGCCCTGCCTATTTAACTTATATGCAGAGCACATCATGAGAAAGGCGGGGCTAGATGAATTACAAGTTGGAATTAAGATTGCCGGGAGAAATAACAACCTCAGATATGCTGATGATACCACTTTAATGGCAGAAAGTGAAGAGGAACTAAAGGGCTTCTTGATGCGGGTGAAAGAGGAGAGTGCAAAAGTTGGCTTGAAACTCAACATCAAGAAAACTAAGATCATGGCATCCGGTCCTATCACTTCCTGGCAAATAGATGGGGAAGAAATGGAGGTAGTGACAGATTTTATCTTCCTGGGCTCCAGGATCACCACAGACAGGGACTATAGCCAAGAAATCAAAAGATGCTTGCTCCTTGGGAGGAAAGCTGTGGCAAATCTAGACAGCATACTAAAATGCAGAGACATCACCCTGCCAACAAAAGTGCGTATAGTCAAGGCTATGGTTTTCCCAGTTGCAATGTATGAGAACCAGTGTGGTGCAGTGGTTAAGAGCATGGGACTGGGACTCAGATGATCCGGGTTCTAGTCCCTGCTCAGCCGTGCAGCCAACTGGGTGACTTTAGGCCAGTCACAGACTCTCAGCCCATCTTACCTCACAGGGTTGTTGTTGTGGGGATAAGATGGAGAATGATGTAAGCTGCCTTGAGCCCTTTGTAGGAAAAAGGCAGGATATAAATCAATCAATCAATCAATCAATCAATAAGATAAAATGTATGGTTGTGAAAGTTGGACCAGAAGGAAGGCTGAGTGCCGAAGGATTGAGGCCTTTGAATTGTGGTGCTGGAGAAGACTCCTGTGAGTCCCTTGGACTGCAAGGCGATCAAACCAGTCAGTCCTAGAGGAGATCAACCCTGACTGCTCTTTAGGCAGCCAGATACTGAAGATGAAACTCAAATACTTTGGCCACCTAATGAGAAGGAAGGACTCCCTGGAGAAGAGCCTAATGCTGGGAACAATAGATGGCAAAAGAAGAAGGGGATGGCAGAGGATGAGGTGGCTAGATGGAGTCACTGAAGCAGTCAGTGTGAGCTTAGGTGGACTCCCGGGGATGGTGGAGGACAGGAAGGCCTGGAGGAGTGTTGTTCATGGGGTTGCGATGGGTTGGACACAACTTCGCAACTAACAACACCAACAACAACACATTAATTTCAATACAAGATTTATACGTGTAATAACCTCCTTCCCAAAAAATGCATCTACTGAATATTGTCAAAACACATGTATAAAAGACTTAGCTGTATTTTTCTGCCTGCAGTTGCCTGGATTAGGCAATCCCTTAATAAAGAGAGGTTGCTGAACCCAATAGAGATGAAATAAGTTTTTGCTGGATAAGTTGTAGCCTAAGTTCCAAAGATGCAACAAGTAGATTCCAAAGTGACAATCCATTGATTTGGGATTTTGTGGTAGTGCCCACAGCAGAGCCTCAAATTTTCAAATGCTTCCATGGGCCCAAAAGTTCCTAAGACTGCTGTTATATGCAGTCTTTCCTTGTATTTTCCTTGTGTGTTACCATCTCCGTTCTAGTGCTGAAACATACAAGGAAATTGAGAAGGCCAGAGTATATTTATCAGACAGTTGAATCTGCACTCTTGCACACTTGTGGAAGATCAGGAGTGGGGGAAATGTGACCCCACAACTAAAAAAAATTCTATTTCAGCAACTTGCTGCATTAAACCCTGGAATCAGTGTGATGGATCGATTTTCTGCAGATCAAACTAATATTGGTGCAGGGAAATGGAACAAAATCTGCGTGGGCAGAACCAGAAAAATCCATTGATTTTTCACCACCCTTCCCCCATTCCTAGGGAGCCCCCCCCCCCATGTTTTTTTGCAGATCAGTCAAGTTTGGGCAAACTCACAACTTTGGAGGCACAGGGGTCAGCGTAGCGCTCTCTCTGGGAATGTTGTGGAATCAAAGGGAAGAAAATGTTATCAAGAGAACTGTGTTTGGAGCCCTACAAGACACTGAGCTTGTCACTGAAGTCATCGCCTTCCTGCTATGCCTTCTGCATTCTGGAAGAAGATGGCCTCCCCCTTAAGAGTTGAAATACTATGTTCTGTCTCAGTTTCCAGAAAGAAGTACTCTCCAGACAAGAAGAAAGCAGAAGCGGAGGCGTTCTTTGGGAGGAACGAGCATGTGATCAAATGGTATGAGGGGCATGAAGGATTTGGGCAAGAGTGCAGGTGTGGGAATCAGGGCTGGGACATACACGGTTCATCTGAAGAACCCAGGGTCATTCCTGGGGCTTTAACAAAATGTAAGGTGAAAAGGATAGCATATAAATCCTTCCCTCAGCATCCCAGAAGCGGTTTTCAAAATTTAAGCAGTACAGAACTAACTAATGAAGTACAGAAACCAAACCAGGTTTTTAGTGTTAATTTTTGTTCTATTTCTTCTTATTTAACCCCCTTTTGCCTTCAGATAAAGAGTATTCTCTTCTGCAGTATCTTATCTCCTTTGTAATGACTGGAGGCTGCACTTTCTTCTTGCTGCACTTCACATCTTCTTTTTCTGTTCTCCCAGAAGAGGCTTCCATGTTTAGAACCAGGCAGAATTGATTCCAAAGATAAGCTGCTTACCATGTAAGTAATCAGAGAGATCAGATTCAGATATTGCAGAATGGGAAAATGCAAAATGGAAGTCATTGACATTATGTGCTGATGGAGTAGGTTGGTGGCTTGCAGGCTGGGTTCCTGGGGACACCATGGCTACTGGAAACATCATGGGCTTCTCAGTGAGAAGCTAATTAATAAAGTACTAAGCTTCCTAGAAGACACTGTCCACACTGCTTTTTTCAGCAAGGAAATCTTGACTATGTTCTATAGCACTTCATATGGATGATAATGAAGCTTAAGAGGCTTGTCCAACATCCTATAACTGTTTCTATACTTGTGGACAACAGGTAAATATGATCCAACAATGCGATGCATATGCCAAAACAGCAAATGCTATTTTGGGATGCATGAATAGAAGTATTACTTTCAAATCATGAGAAGGAGTAGTTCCCCTATATTCCTCACTAGTCAGACCTCATCTGGAATACTGTGTCCACTTCTGGGCACCAAGATTTAAGAAATATGGAGAAAAATTAGAAAGGGTCCAGAGGAGGGCAACACAAATGATCCAGGGTTTGGAAACACTGCCCTATGAGGAGAGACTGAGAGAACTGGGCATGTTCAGCCTTGAGAAGAGAAGACTGAGGGGGGCATGATATCCCCCTCTGTAAGTACCACAAAGGCTGTCACAAAGAGGAAAGTTAAGATCTTGGGGATTACATGAGCAGAGCTGGCTGCAGCCAGGGGTCAGACTAGATGGTCCGGGAGGACCCTTCTCACTCACTTTGTTTCTATGTCTCTATCTCTTCTTGCTGATACCAGAGGACATGGAAGAATTGAGTCAAGTTGTGACAACCCAGGTTCTGGCTAGATATCAGGAAAAGTTTCCTCACTGTCATATTGTCAGAGCAATATGACAGTGGAACCAGCTGCCTGGAGAGGTCATGGGCTCTCCCACACAGAGACATTCAAAAAGACACTGGACAGCCATCTGAGGGAGTTGGACCCGATGGCCTTCACGGACCCTTCCAGCTCTACTCTTCTATGATTCTATGTCAATTCTGCACCTTAGAACAATCTGCATGATGCTCTGAAATTTGCACAAGTTTGAAATTTACACAAACTAGTATGGACAGCGCTCCCTGAGAGCAGAAAATCTGTAAACCACTGAGATTGCCCTGTGCAGCAATTTTAGGTGTTTTTGTCTTTTCAGCTTTAACTCATTCTCCGTCACTCAGCTTTTAGCTCATTCTGTTGTTCTCTTTCAGATCCCCCCCTCTTCCCACTCTCCAGGCTGCCTGGAACCTGCTGTGGGCATCAGCCAAAGTGCTGCTTGTGACGCTGCTGTTGGCGCTGGTCTTCCGCTTCCTTCTTGGCTGGCTCTCCAGCCAACCATGTCCGCAGCTCCATTCAGCTCCCTTGCTCTATATCCAGCCCAAGAGGCTTTTGCCGCCTTTCTCTTCATAAAGGCATGCATGCTCCTGTCATTAATGTCCTTTAATAAAATGTCATAGTAAGCAAGTCAAACTAGACATGGCATTCGCCACACAGTTTGTCACTGAGAGATTGAGTCTTCTTTAACCAATGGCCAGTGCATGGGTGCCGGAGCCAGATCAGTACAAATCAAAGGGAGGCTTCAACCTGTCCATCTGTCCTGCCCCTGACATGGAAGTCCCCCATCACATACCTGTTTTTCGCCACAGGAGGAAAGCCGAAGTGTGACAGGCAAGACTGTAACTGTGGCCGTCCAACTAATTTCCACAGTCACAGATTTCTTCTATAAGTGTGGTCCTTGACCAATGCTCAGTCACAGCAATCCAAGAGCTTCTCAAAAAGCCTCCTACAGGTGTTGTTTCTGGGATGATTTTATGGCCAGGAGAAAATCCTGAGGATATACAAATGCATATTCCTTTAAAAAAATTGTTCTGGCTGTAATTTTCCCTCAGGGGCTTAAAATCAGGATGTAGCTATCAGCAAACACAAGTAGTTTATATTCGAATTCTTCCTGGGGATATGCAAGTTGAGCAAATCTTCATAACAACAGAAGGCCTATAATTAACAATAGTAATACCAGCAATATTTGGCCTACTAAATTTAGAAACTCATAGCATGGCTTTCTTTCAATGGATTTTCATTCTGCTTGCTGGAAGTTTAACTTAGACTCTAAGTTTTAAAATGAGACCAAGATTATATGAATCCAACCTTGCTTTGCCTTTTAGGGGCCTTTGTCTGGGTTTACAACATTGCCTTGCCAAGCTATTTCTGGGGTGATTTTGTCACCCCAGGTGCTTTTTATTATAAAGGAAAAAACCCTGTAAGAGATGGGAAGCTGAAATTTGAGGATGTATTGGATCAAGCACTTTGTAATAGTGTTGTAAAAGAACAAGTCAGTAGGATTTACTTATGTGTAAATTATAGTACAGACTGTGGACCTGAGGTACTAAAGTCACCCCATAATGCCAGACGAGGTCTATGCTGCACTAGCGCAACTGGGAATTAATTGCATACCTTCCAAAGGAGCAGGAGAAGTGTTATGGAAGGGAAAGGTGGGCAGGTGCCTTTGAAATAAACTGCTCTTGACAATATGATTGCGAACTGCTTCGAGCTGATGGCAACTGAAGCATTATCATTTACAGACAAGCTTGGACATACAAAAAACAAAACCACATTGAACCAAGAAAATAAAAGTACTGCTTTCTTGTCATATTACTGTGTCTCAATACAAAGGCAGCATTATAAACTTGCTAGTGCTTTGATGGAAGCTGCTAGAATCTTTACTTACTTACTTACTTATCCTGTTCTTTAAAGGCAAGATATTTTATGCAAGGTATTGGTAGACAACAAACATATGTGATGTTAAATAACAGATTACAAAATTGCAGGATGTTGCATTGGCTGAAGTTAAATGACTAAGCAACTGTGTGATTCCCTGGAGCCACTAGACAGTTACTCAGACTTCATAGCTAGGGGCCCAGCACCTTACAGCCAGTGCAGAAACGGCCATGCTGGTTGCTGCCCCGAGTTGGAGCATGACCTTGGGGAAGTGCTTTTGGAGAGCATACTGGGGGCTGGGCAGGCAGGGGAGGAGATCTGTGCCCCTAAGGCAGAACATATCCTGGCAGTGTCTTAGCTCTCTTCCCTTCCGATGACTGAAACTGACTTGAAGGCTGCCTGGGCTTCTCTGTAGATACAGGCCATGACAAGGACAAGCAACCTTTGCAGAACAAAGTTCTTTGCAGCACAAAAGGAGCACAGGGGCAAGATTTGCGCGATTTGCCCATAATCCTCAACGAAAGGTCCCTCATATTCAAGAGCTATATGGCAGGCGGATCCAGCATGATCCTCTCTGTCTGCAAAGTAGCAGGCCATCCAGAATCAGCAAGGGTTTCTTGCTACCCCTAACCACTGGCTCCGTAGCCAGCCATACTCATGATGGGATTGGTCACCCCGGTTTGAGCAGCACAACAACCAGCCCTGCAACGGACCATGGATTCTGGGGGTGGCTTGTTGCCCATGAGCAAACCATTCCATGGAAATTGGACCAGGTCCACACAACAGAAATGCCTAAGTAGCATAAATAGGAATGTTAGCTACAGATGGGTTAGACTGGGGGGTTGGCAACCTGGCAGCTGTGGAGACACACTGGCCCAGTTCCCCTCCCTTTCACTCCCAGCAATATCCCTGCCAAATAACAGAGGAAAGGAAATATACACCCCACTAAAGAGCATGTTGTTTCTGTTTATTCAGTTGTTTTATATGTTGTCCCATTAGCTGTAGGCTCTCTGGGCCATCATAGAGCCAGAGCATTCTGAGCTGTGGGTACATTCCCCCTCCCCATGACCTTTTTTGACAGGGGTACCCTTTTTACCTTCTTCAGTTTCTCTATTTTTGAATTGCTTCATTGGGCAGGTTTGTATGACACAACAAGCCACAGTGGATTCTTGTGCATCGTAAGATCATACCATCCAAACCTGTCATGGTGTTTCACCATGGTACGTTTGGTTTCTAGAAACCACACCAAGAAAAAAAAAAAAAAGATCTATTCTATGGTTTCCTTGCTTCACCATGGTTTATCTGATAATCCAAACCTAGCATCATGGTTTCTATGGTCCTGGTCTGCAGCTACCACAGAGTCCCCTGGAAAGAGTAGCAGCTTCAGGAGTTTCTCTGTTGATTCACCATGGGACTGAATTTCAGTGCTTGATGAGATACGTGCCAACCGTAGGAGGACTGAGCAAGGAGGATGGAAACCACACCAGCATAGAAACCACTCAAACATCTGTCAGGTCCTGTTATGCTAAGAACTGTGCGCTTTTGCTGTAATTTGTAAACCCAGCTCTTGTTGTAACGTGTGTCTAATAGTAGGCAGGAAAAACAAATTACCTGGTAAAAAATTATTGTGGGGGAGAGAGAGCAGGTAAGTACTAGGGGAGGAGCACTAGGCAAATCTGAAATAGGGGTGGGGAGGGAGTGAGAATCCAAATATGTTGCTATTGGCTATGTCCCACACTGCAGTTTGTGGCACTGTTGTCAGCGATCCAGGGCATGGGGAGCTGGTATCAGATCAGGGTACCAGGACCAAGACAACCAGTGCAATATACAGGCTATCCAAAATCATGGTCAAGCAGTCCAGAGATCAAGGATGATAACAGAAGTACAAAGTAAATCAATCCAAATAAAGCAGTAGTCACAGCCAGTCAGGAGTCAAATGCCAGAGAGACAAGCCCAGGAGAAGTGGGTACCTTGGAACCAGTGCAGAAGGTGGAGCAGGCGAAGACCAGGTAGCTGTGCATGGTCCAGAAGCAGAGGCAGGAGCAAGGGGACAGGCTCAGTTTTGAGAAACAGGCTTCAGAAGGCACAGAGAGCTCCAGCAACATCAAAGGCCTGTATTGCTGAGGCAGCATCTGAAGGAAAGAGCTGGTTCTTCTATAGCTCTTCCTTCAGGGCTCCCAGGTTGTGCTCTTAACATCCCAGGTGGCTGCAATTGACTGGATCTGGGCAGCTACAGGGCTTCATCTGCTGCCCCAACACCAGAGTAACAGCCCTGGTAGTTGCAGGATTGGTCCCAGACTATGCTGAAGCTGCCAGGGCCTTTCCATCACTGGCTTCCCATCGGAGTCCGGGCTCAATTCAAGGTACTGGCAATCACCTATAAAGCCCTTAATGGCTTGGGACCTGGATACCTGAAGGAATGCCTGCTTCGATATTTGCCCTCCTGCCCCTTGAGATCAGCAGCAGAGGCCCTTCTTCGTGAAGGATATTAGGAGGGTAAGTACTCAGAGGAGGGTTTTCTCTGCAGTGGTGCCCCACCTATGGAATGCGCTCCCCAGAGAGGTCTGCCTGGTGCCGTCATTTGTTTTTTGGTGCCAGGCAAAGACCTTTTTATTTAAACAATATTTTAACACCACTTAATAATATCTATAGGTTTTAATTTTGCAGCCAGGGTGATTCTGGGTTTTTAATTGTATTATTTTATTATGTATTATGTTTATTTTATGTGAGCCGTCCGAAGGCTGTAAGCGATGGGACGGCATACAAAAGTTCTAAATAAATAAATAAATGAGCCACACCTGGAAACCTGGTGGCTGAGCTGTGTAAGGTCCGGCTCTTCCCTCCAGAGGCTACCTCAACAAGTTGGTCTTTTGTGTTGTAGTCTGTTCCTGTATCTTGTTAGACCTGCACCTGTTCCTGCCTTGCCTTATTGTTCCTGAACAATTTGTTCCTCATGTTTGTTCCTGGTGTTTGCTATCCCAAGGTACCTACCCCTTATTCTCATGTCCTGCTGGTTCTTGACCTGTTGTGATGATGCCTTGCTCTATGAGGTGCTCCCAGTTCCTGATGTTGGCTTGTTCTGTTGGAGGTTCTCTTTGCTCTCCTGACTTGGGCTTGTTATTGGGCTTGCCCAATAACTTGGACTTGGGTTTTGGCTCAGCTTGGATCTTGCTGCTTAGCTCCCAGCGCATCTGTCTGGTTTCTTGCTGCTCATGCCCCAGATCCTGGCAAGTGCTTCTTGGGTCACTTTTTAAAAATATAAAATATTCCTGCCCAGCTGAGAAGGTTGCTTGTCCCTGTGATGGCCTGTATCTATAGAGAAGCCCAGACTGTCTTCAGAAAGGCATTGTAGGCAGTTAATATCTTGTGAGTGTGGAAAGCCTGAGTAAGGGGAAAAGAAAAATATAAAGCAAAAACTCTTCTTGAAGTTCTGTGTTGGTTTACTCAGTGGTAAGCCTTTCTGAACACAGAATATATGTGTTCATTTGCGTGCAGCCACCCAGCTCAGGACTTCCGTGTGTGTTTAGAGCCATTCCATAAGGTCTTGATACTGCAGGGCTATTGCACCATACTGCTTGCATACATCGATGCTTTCAGTCTGCCACAATGACATGCCAAAAATGGTTAGGCTTGTTTAGATCTGCAAAGAAATCATTCCCATATAAAGAATGGAGCTGTTGATCAAGTAGCAATGACAGCTGCTTATGGGGTTGAAATTCCCACCATGATTGCTGATTGGCACATTCAAACTCATGTGGTCCCTGCACTGACCTGGGAGGCTGAGCTGCCTGAGTCTTTTAGGCTGTGGGGCTCAGGAGAGGGATTTCTCTAAATTCCTGACTGCTTTGAGGCTTCTGTTACCCTGGCAACATGAGTATGTAACCAACCTGCCCGGGCTTAAAGCTAGCCAGCCAGGTGAGTCCTACTTATTCTCACGTCCTGGAGTTCTAGTGAAAAAAAGAATTACTGTGAACGAGCAGCCCAAGCAAAGGTAGTGGTAGTAGGGAAAGACCACAGCTGTGATAGCGCCAACTGAGCAGGGCAAGCTATAGCCATGGAAAACATGGGTAGTTGAGCAACCCAGCTGCTGGAGTAACTGACTGGCTTCTCTCCCCACTCAGGGACTTTCCCTGATCCCCTTTGATGTCCTTCAGTTTTTATATCTTGCAAGCCGTCCTGAGCGCTTGAAGCGATAGGACGGGGTATAAATGTATGCAATAATAATAATAATAATATATGATACATCTTCTATCCCCTACCTCTTCCACACTTGAGCTTCTTCCACTTTTGTCGTCTATCCTCTTTCCCTTCCTACACTTAACTTTCAATTATTTCAACCCTAATGCTGTTTTTAATTCCACGCTACACATCTGTTGCTTAGTCTAAAATCTCTTCCCCATTTATGGGCTTTTGTATCACTCCTTCTTCTTTTCATTTACTGCAAGCCTCTTGCTCCCTGTTGTTAGCTATACAAACAGTCTTTTTCCCTTTCTCTTCCTTTCCTCCATCCATCCATCCCAGTTCACAAGAAATAAGTAGTCACCAGTCTTTGAGTTTAAATTTGGCCACAACTTTATTGATGACAGAGATTAAATCACCAACCAGGACCAGTGCGGGTCTACACCAATCAGGAGTCTCTTGCCATGGCCAAGCTTGAGCTTGCCAGTGATGAACCTGTATGTGGGGCTGTGTGCAGATGCCAGCCCATGTGACAGTCCAGCCCTGCTGGGCAGTCTCTGCATCCCAGGCAGCCTCAGTCCCCAGGAGAATCCCCCCTCCCTCTGCTCCAGGTTGGAAGAATTCCTGTGGCCAATAGGCCTTTTGTGTGTGCGCCTTTTTGGATGCTACTGGAAGAAATACTGAACTACAGGTACTGAAGAGAGAGTCTGTATGTATGCTTGTAGGTATACACTATTGTAAAGTAGCAGTTCTTAAAACAGTTTAGACCATTCTTTCAAATCAGTGTCTTACTAGTTACTGATAGTGAACTAGTTTGACACTGATAGTAAGACTATCATTCTTGCATAGATAACAACAAGATTATGAATGTGAAGCATTTTGAGCACTTTAAAGTACTTATGTTGTTTGTTCATTTTGTTCATTCAGCTCATTATTTCTGAGTTGCTCTGCTAATTTACAATAAACCATAAGATTAATAAAATGCCACAGTTCCAAACAAAACCAAACCTAAAACAAAACAGAGAAAATAATCAGAGTGTACATTCTTTCTTTTTATAGAAGTTAGTAACATTTGCAGGCTTCTTGGCCATGTTGGAGGGGATCAAGACTGCCAAATTCTACTCAGGTTCTGCTTCTTTCTCCCCACCCACCCTGCTGTCAATTCAGCAGCATTTCCCCAACTATAGTATGGGTGTGTTAATACTGATCTAGTTCCCCTTTAGCAGTTGCCCTTGTAACCAGGCCCTCAGCTGCTAGAAGGCCATTTATGATGAGAAAAAGAAAATAGCCAAACAACCCTTGAGGCCTCCTTCAAGAAAGTGACTCCAGTGCCAACTACCCCTCTCTCCAGCAGCACAATCAGGCCCCACTCGCCAGCACCAGGTGCATCTCTATCACCATTCCTTAATGTTAGGCTTACTGCTACCTCATGGATTAGCAAGTTATGAATGAAAACAGGATTTCAAGCTTTAAAACAACAACAACGGAGGAGTAAGGAGAAGTCATCTGGGCACCTCTGCTTCTACTCCTCCCAGAAACTGTTTTACCATGGTTCTGCTTCTTCCCCGAGGCCCTGCACATGCTCTGAAACACACTGATTTGAGTACATATACCGTGAATGTCTCTAGGGAACTATGTGGCAACTGAATCCCTAGAGAGAGTCATGGCTTTCCATTAGAGAGAGTCATATAGGATGTACGGCAGTTAACACATTCGGCAGTATGTAATCTGGGGACTACCTGCATTACAATCCCCTGCCCACACTTCCTTGTTCCTCCCTCCCACCATGTCCCTAAAAGCGTCGTTTGTAAAAACAATAGCAATTTTGAGTCGAGTCACTCACTTGTTGCTTCTGCGTCACGTCTGATTTGAGTTGTTGACGCAACTTTAGCTGGACTTGGGAGTGAGTCATTCAACTTGAGACCCCAACACTGGGAAGACCCTTCCTATGATGTATACAATACACAGAGATCTTCCCCATTTTCCTATTTTTCTTTCTAACATTCCCAACAGATAAGGGAACAGGTTTCCCCACAGTTTATAGCATGCCCATAAATAATTTTAGGTGAACGAGGCTCGGAATGACACAATCTCCAGAGAACCTTAGCGCAAAAAAAAAAAAGAAAAGAAAAAAAAAGAATTTGTTGCTCTATAGCTCCAATATTGAAACTGGTTTATAATTAGGGAGCAGTAGTGTGGTGGCCCTGTTGGCAAATAACACCAAATATCTATGTGGTAAATAGAAAAGAGCCTAGAAATACCATTATGTCCAATGTCTATGCATGTGGAATTTCATCAAATCTCATGGTGCTGCTCAAGCTGGCCATTGCTGTAAGCGTGAGGGAATGGCATTGCTTTGTGTGATGCCTGCTCCCATTATGGCTGTAGAAGAGGGTGCTCAAAAGGCTCTTAACATGAGGCTGAAGAAAAATGGTCCTTTTGTGACCACTCCACAGGTCTCTCCTCCCGGTGCATATTCACCCACCAAAGTAATGTGGGTGGGAGTTTGAAAGCACTCAAAAGATTTAATTAAAAAAGGGTGCTTTCTCTCTATATGGCTGTGCAGTGCCTTTGCAGTTTAACAGCACAAAATATGGAAAGGAGCAGAAGCCCTGAACACGGAGATAAATAAGCCAAGAATGCTGTTGAGTTGTGCCCTTTGATTCCATATTAGAATGCAGGGGGTCATCTGGGTAAATCTTTTCCCATGCACAATATGATGATACAAATTTCTGATGGCTCTGGGGTCCTCACTGCCAGGAGTATCTTTTGGGGTTTGCATTCCGCTAGGAAGCCCAAAAGAAAAGGGAGGGCAAAACTCATTCCCAGGCTTTCTTCCACCTACCCTCTGAAAGCTGCATCTTTGTGTCATTTCTCTCTCCCCAACCGCTATTTTCCAGGACTGTCAGGAAATTAGAATGGTGTATTGCAAGCACTGTCCACTTTGGAATCGTAAAACAATCCATAATTATTGGATGCTTTGAAAAATCATGCCACTTTATGGATAGGAGTAAACCAGAATCATACATGGCCATAAACCACCAGGAACTCTTTCTTTCTTTCCAGCAGGCAGTTTTATGTATCTTGGCCACAGGGAATGGTCTTACCTGGGTATGGGGAGGGGGGAAGCTAGTAGATTTCTTTAATGGAAGCTGAGCCTTGAAATAGAGAATTTCCACTTAAATGAGCTGTAAAGATTTTTCTTTCTAAGAGGGCTTTTAATATACAAGCATGATGTAGTTTTGCTTGGTCTGTGTTTTTTCCCCTGCTACTAAGATGGTTTTATTCCTTAATACACTTTCGTTTGAATTAATTTAGATTGAATTATTTTTTAAAGAGGGGATTTCTTCACTTTGTTTATTTATGCCCTGCCAAATATGATACTCAAGGCAGTTTGCTACAGCTTTTCCTGCATGCAGACATGCCCCCTCTAACTGTTCAAACATATATCCAACAACAACTGGAGAGCCAGTGTGGTGTAGTGGTTAAGTGCATGGGACTGGGACTCAGACGACCTGGGTTCTAGTTCCCGCTCAGCCATGGAGCCAACTGGGTGACTTTGGGCCAGTCACAGACTCTCAGCCCAACCTACCTCACAGGGTTGTTGTTGTGGGGATAAGATGGAGGAGGAGATGTAAGCTGCCTTGAGCCCTTTGTAGGAAAAAGGCAGGATATAAATTGAAAAATAAATAAATAAATAAGAACTTTAAAAAAAATCAGGTTATAGGCAGCAGGGTGCTGGACTGAAATGTCAGAACCATAGTGGAGGCAGCATGAGGAAGAAGCCCAGATCAGATACCTAGCAAGACATGGCCAGACAAGAAGCAAAGGCACGAGTCAAGGCACAAATGATGACACGAGCCAGATCCGGGCTACAAAACAGCTGCCACCAACTCAACAGTCCATTATGAGCAGAGGTGGGCAGCACTGAGGAGCCCTTTATAGAGCCTCCTGGCTTTCAGGTGGGCTGCAGGATTACCCGGGTCTTAATCCTGCAAGTAGTTGCCAATCTAATGCCAATTCTGTGAGGTGGATCAGGCCACCTTCTCTATCACGCCACCTGGAGAAGCTGCCGATCCTGACACTTTCTCTGTATCTCTTCTGCACTCTCCTATAGTCCTCCTCACTCTCTCAGACTTGTAAAGGTTTCCTCATGACATTAAAGTCCAGTCAGGTCTGACTCTTGGGGGTGGTGCTCATTTCCATTTCCTAGCTGAGGGAGCCAGCCTTTGTCTGCAGTCAGTCTCCATGGTCATGTGGCTGGCATGGTAAACAGGTAAACACTGGTGTTACCTTCCCACTGAAGTGGTACCTTTTTATCTACTTGCATGTGCATGCTTTTGAACTGCAAGGCTGGCAGGAGCTGGGACAAAGCACAGGAGCTCACCCCATTGTCAACTGGGACGAACTGTGAACCTTTCGATCAACCAGCCCAGCAGCAGCTTAGTGGTTTAAACCACTGCACCACCTGAAGTCCCTCAGACTTACCAGGTAGCAATGAATGGTGGGGCCCCAATGCCATTCTGGAAAATTAAGATGATGTCAACCTATTAAAATGGGATTGTTTGTCATAACAATCTAAATAAATCAATACATTTCACAAACAAAAGCCAAAGAAGAGAGGGAATCATTATTTCCACGTTTACGTAAGTACATTGCTAGGGTTGTTCACACGCATTGACATTCGCTTCTGTTTTTAAATGTCAAACCATGTAAGTCCAGGAGTACCAACAGCTTTGCACCCTGTCTCTTGGCCTGTCTCACAGGTTGGTTTCAATCACCCTGGCACTTAGGTTCTCTTTGTCAAGTTATGCTCTGCAGTGCCTCCATAGCATTGATTTTTAGACTTTTTAGATGTCTAAGTAGCTGAACTTAGTGAATTTGCTCCTACACAGATACATGTCTACGGGTATTCCTAGGCAAGGCTTTTATTATACAGTGGCCCTGTCATTGCCATGGACATGCCCGTCCTCTCCCTGCCTCTCCCATTTTTGTCATCACTTCCCTCACCTTATGATTACTGTGGGAGCCCTGGGGGTTTCCAGACATGGCTTTTAATGTGCAATTGCCCTTCTCCATTCACAAGCTTACTGGTGGGGCAGATGCCAGTAGCTCTCCTATGGCTTCCCATCGCTTATCAATCCTTTTTGCTTATGAAGCAACGCAAGGAAAGGTGGAATGGCCCCTTTCGTGTGCGGCCAGGGTGTGCCCCAACATCCTTCTGGGTTCCATCCGCCCCCCTTCCGCCAGCAATTGCCTGGGAAAGGAAAAGTTGGACGAAATGGCCGGGCAAGCTTCTGCTCCGCGGGGGCGAGCGCGTCCACTCTTCCAGCCCACGAGGCTACCTCTTCCGGCACCAGGTGCGCCTCAACTCCTGCTAGGCCTGCCGTGCCGGAGCCCTGGCAAGCCCGAGCGCGACTGGCTCCGCACGCTGGCGCCCGCTCCTCTGCGTGGGCTCGGCGAGGGCGCCCTTCGAGGGAGGAGCCGCGCCAGGGCACGTGACCCCCTTTCTCCAGTTGGGCTCTGGGGAAGTGGAGCTCTCCGAGCGTGCCTGCTGCTGGCTCGCCGCTCCCTTTGCGCTCGCGAGCTGGGACGGCGGCGGGCGCTCCGGCGGAAAGCCTGGCAAGGCGAGCCACGCAGGGGAGTCGCCCGGCGTCCGCGCCGCCCTCGCCACCTTCCCCACCTGCACGTCCCCGCTCCTAAGGAGCAGCATTGGGCATCGCAAGGGAAGCGTCCCCTTTGCAGGCTGCTGCTGCTGCGCTTTCCGGTGTTGGAGGTAGGGGGGGAGCTGAGCTATGAATGCTTTTTTTTTTTTTTAAGGATCAAGGATTAGCCTGGCAAGAGATGTCGTGCGAGCCCCCGGGCATGTGCACAGCGTCCAGCAAATTAAAGCAAAGAGAGGGAATCGTCGGTAGAAACTAAAAGCTAGAGAGGAACTGGCTGTAATCCCCCTGCCTGGCACTCGAATACCGCTGCTAAAACTCAGCTTGAATTCGCTGAACACTTCTTTGCCAGAGCCTCTTTGTCAGTTGCCAAGCTCTTTCGACACTGAAAAGAAAGCATCCCTGGGTAGGTATTATTTGGCCTTCCCTACCGCAAAGTAAGATGTGGGTGTAAAGAAGTTATGGAAGTGGTTCCTTACTGGACTGATATACGGATTGCCTTGCCTTGCTCCCAGAACTTTACAGAAGATGCATGTTTTCCTGCAACTTCTTTTTCTTTTGGACACTTCCTGGGGAATGGGTATTCCTAGTGCTAACAAACAAAAGGTATTCTGGAGCTCTGTTGTCTGTTCCTAATGGATTTCCCATGGAGGAACCAGTGGGGTAAGATAAAAAGATTTCAAGTGGAGGACTGTATAAAACTAGGTAAAACATGAATCACACAACAAATGTGAAGCAGCTGGTGGACGCTAATGAAAGCTCAGCACATTCAGCACGGGGAAACGAAATCCGCCTCGGGCGCAAGGCTCTGCCACACCTGCTCTTGGCTACTGTCCTGCTCCTCAGCTGTGGCTGCTTCTCTGTTCCTTGCAGAGCCTCTGACACAAGCCCCATGCTGCCCATCCTGCTGCTGCCTGTGGCCTTCATCCACCACACGGTCCATGGGAGCATTTCCTGCTATGATGACTCGGGAGAGCCTGTGGACTGGTATGGGTTAATTACACCCGATTTAGTCTTAATTTAATTTAATGTTTAACATGTATATATTGCTCTTCAGCAAAAGTATTTATAAAATCCACTGTAATATATTTGGATTTCTTTTGCCTTCCCTCTACAATCTTGCTCCTTCTCTTGCATAGTTACAGACTTTTTGAGTCAAGCTTTTGCCCAAAACTACCAAAACATTTTAGTTTCTTCCTTGCAACCATGAGGGCTAGAAACCTCTTTTTTAACACATACAATGCATTAGTATTAAATTGCATTTTTATCCTGCCTTTTCCCCTCTTCTAAGGAAACTGAGAGGAGCCCAAGGCAGTTCCATTTTATCCTCACAAAAAAAAAAAAACTACCAAGAAAAACACTTTGAGGTATGTTGGACTGAGAGAGAGCAGCTGGTCTAAAGCCACTCAGTGAGCTCATGGCCAAGTGAGAACTAGAACCTGGATCTCCCAGGTCCCTAGGCCAAATTCTTACCATCATGCCACACTGGTTCTCATACTGCTGTGGATTGTAAATGTTAAGTAGTCAAGGTTACTCATACAAAACCAGGCATAATGCAGTTGAAATTACTTGGTATTCTTCCTGGGGTTAACATATAAGGTAGATTTCATCTGGGGTTAATATATAAGGCCTTTTAAAGCTCTGTCCTAGGTGCATAATGGCATTGTCTGCCCTCACAGCTTGTTCTAGGATTTTAAACCTCAAATAATTAATCCTCATTCTAATTTTCCCCTTCATTTCTTAATAACTAAGTCCAAGTCACATTGCCCACCAGTAGACAAGAGGAAAACAAGATGGGGAGGTGGCCACCTTCTTCATGACAGCATTGTGTTTTGCTTGGGTTTCAGGTTTATTGTCTACAAGCTGCCAAGGCCCCCTCATAGCCCTCCGGCTGAGGGTATGCGGTACATGTATCAAGATGGGCAAACACAGGGCTGGGTGCAAGGCAGGAGTCTGATGAACAGCACTGTGGGAGCCGTGGGCCGGACCTTGCAGCAGCTCTATGTGAAGGCAAGGCGGAGGCAGGTGGGTCTCAGGAAAGGAGTCACAAAGATGGCTTTCCATGTTGTGGCCAGGAGTGCGGGAGGAGGCCAGATTGTGAAGATCTAATTCCTGGCTTCACTTAAGCCAGGCAGGTGTCTATTAACCTACCCGAGGTAGAGCCATCTTTCAGGCAGCAAGGTTCTGGGTTTTTAAAATGGCTTTTTAATTTTTCTTTTATTCATAAATTGATGCAGCAGCTTTCCAGCCAAATAAGACTTTGAGGTGACTTGCAATATAATTTAAAAGGGGTGCTTCAATTAGTACGAATGCGTCACTCGTACATGGCGGTTCATTAGAACATGATGAACCCTGTGTTTATGGTGGAGGTGCAAAGCTAGCCCAAAGGTACTTTGTGGCTCCAGGAAGCTGCATGGCCCCATCCTAAATGTATGCCCAAGCATTCCTTGCATTGGTCAAGAAAAGGCTAAGTCTAGTTGCTGGAATGCATACAGCTGCTGCTTTAATTCTTTTATATTTGCCACTCATCTTGGGTTGGGTCCAAGAGGAACTTCTAGTTCAGGAGATGAACTAAAATATGTGCTACTTGGGTGGAAGGGCAGTCTTAGGAAGAAGAAATGTATGAAGAGTCGCAGTGTCTGTTGTTGACGGAGAAAGGGGACTGACACAGGATAGTTGTCTGACCACCCCTTTGTCTTATTTTCCTTCCAGGAGGAGGAAATGGCCTACGTCCTCTACAATGATGAGCCTCCAAATAACCCTTCTTTCATCTTGAAGGGCCATACAAAAGGTGGTGCCTCTGGTCCGAACGTGCCCTAATGGGCAGGGCTTGCCCTACCATACCTAACCCTAACCTTTATGAAAGGGGTCTGTTGAGGGTGGTGGCAAGATGTTAGAGGACAGATGTGTGTGTCACAGAGTCTGCCCCTTAATCCCTATGGGAAGACATCTCCAGGTTCAGCTCATGTTCACCTGTCAGTCCATTTTCTGTATTTTATTTATTTATTTAAAATATTTATATGCCGTCCTGTCGCAAAAAGCCTCAGGATGGCTTACAACATAAAATATAACATAAATAAATTCCCGACCCACACTGGCTGCAATTAAAAACATAGAAAAGACAATATTAAAACTTATTAAAATATTGCTGGAATAAAAAGGTCTTAACCTGGCACCGAAAAACAAATAACGACGGTGCCAGGCGGACCTCCGTAGATGGGGCGCCACCGCAGAGAAAGCCCTCCTCCAGGTACTTTGCCTCCTAATGTCTTTCATGGAGGGTTCCCGGAGGATGGCCTCTGCTGCCGATCTCAAGGGGCGGGAGGGCAAATATGGAAGTATGTGGCATGGGGAGAAAACTCACCTTGTCTTTTGCCTCAGGATGGGCCCCGATGTCTAACACAACTCTGGCTTACTCAAAGAGTGGCTTAGGAGGCATCTCCATTATCACTGGTCATGCCTTAAGTCACATGCTGTGCATGAAACTTGGGTTAAAGGACTCCTTGTGCTACATTCCTAGAACTTCAGAATGCAGGAAGAAAGTTAATCAGCATTTGTTTTTCTTAGGGGTAATCCTCCTGGACAGAACCCAAGGATTCTGGCTCCTTCACAGCACTCCTCATTTTCCATCCAGTACAGATGAGAAGGAGTATGTCTGGCCCCAGAGTGCACTGTCCTTTGGGCAGACCTTTCTTTGTGTCACCTATCCTTACAGCCAATTCAAAGATATTGGTAGGTGCCTCAGATCTCTGTTACTAGAACCGTCATACTGAAACTCAGATTTTGGGATTATTTCCAGGTTCTTGGTGGGGAAGAGCTAGAAGGCTGGAAAGTAGAGCTGGAAGGAGCTAAAAAGTAGGATTTCCCCAGACTTGTGTGGTATACAAGAATGGGATTTTGTGATGATTTATAGTACCATCATACTTTACAGACTAACATGAGGATGGAATTTTAAGAATCATACAATCTAAAGTTATCCCCAACTCCATGTAAATGTAGTATAAGATATGGAAAGTTGAGAAGGACAACTCCAACAATTCATTTCAGTCTAGACTATTATAGTGTGTTTAGAAGTGTATGTGCATGGTCCTTGCCTAAGGGCTTCTGGTCCATCTTTTATCATTCGACTCTCCCCACAACCCCCCCGATCCTGAATGACTGCTGAATTTTCACAAACATCTGTTCCTTAGCATGCCTTTCCTGCTAAAAAGAGGTAACACTTCTTTCCCTATAGGACGCTAAATTTAGAACTTGCAGATAGTCACTGTACTGGTCAGTCACCTGAAGCAGGGGTAGGCAGAGGATAGATTTCCAAAGATATTGAACGTGAATTCCTGGAAGCTCCTACTGGCATGGCCAGCAGTCAGGAATGCTTGAAGTAAAAATTTCTGGAGATCTGCTTTTTGCCCAAACCATCCAAGAGGATTGGGGGCAGCTGTCCTTTGTCCTTCTCATTTGCCACACTCTGCAACTGTGGGGTTTCCACTACAAAGCAGGACTCCCATAAAGAAGTCAGGATTATTTGCATGTCTGATTGGTGTATTGTGCCTACAGCTCCATTTCCATGCTGTTTCTGTTTTGCAATTGACCCCTTCCCAGCCAGGTTTGTAGGCTGCCGCAGATTTGCTGGGCAGGAAGAGCTTACTTTCAAGCAAGAGACTGGACTCCTGTCCAGACAGCAGATCTGATACTCTGTTCATTGTCTCTTTGCCTCAGGGAATCAGTTGCTCTTCACTGAACCCCACGTCTATGATTACCATGTGGAAGGCACTTTTGCTCAGGACCTGCCAGCCTTACTGAATGCTTCCAAGGGGCAGCATGTTCAGCAGGAACCATGGAATTCCAGTGTGGCCCTCACATCACTGGAGGGCAAGGAATTCGTCAGCTTTGCCAAGTTTCGTTCCTTTGGTGATGGTAGGTGATGAGATGAGACAACTAAAAAGGGAGGTAATGGGAAATAGAGATTTTAAAGAAGGGAGAGGTGGTCGGCCCTCACTTCAAGTCTTCTCATGTAACTATTTCTCTACCCAGATCTGTACTCTGGCTGGTTAGCCCAAGCTCTTGCCAGTGATCTCTATGTCGAGTTCTGGCTCAGATCCCGAGGGATCCTCCCTTCCAACTGTTCTGGGCCTTTCAAAGTCTATAACGTGCAGAAACTAGCTTTCCAGGATCCAGCTCCCACCTTCCTTTCCACAAAAGACCATTCCAAGTGGTGTGTGGGGACCAGGAGTGATCCTGGCTGGGCCTGTGTTGGAGACATGAACCGCAATCATGCAGAGGAACAGCGTGGGGGTGGCACCATTTGTTGTCGTGATTCAACCATCTGGAAGGCCTTCCATTCCTTGGTACAGAATTATACTGACTGTGATGATGCACGGTACCACCTGAAGAATCTGAGCCATAGGGGAGTGTGATTCATCAGACAGAGAAGAAGTACCACAGGTGAACACAACAGGTAACAGGGAATCACTCCTATTGTTTCCCACTTTCGCATTTGCTCCTCTGGCATTCAAACACAGTGTATCAAGCGATGATTAAATTCTTGGCCCTTTTGGTAACTGGCTGTGCTGCTACTTGGCTCCCCTAAACTAGTTCTCTGGAAAGGACCCTTTAATTTTCAAAATCTCAAATACAGCAGGTGTTGCTTTGCACCTTGGACATTTCCTTTCATCAGTGTCTCCTGTTACACACTAGCACTACCAGTGTCGTGTGCCTGAGGTGGAGAAAACACATTGAGGAATTCTGTATAAAACAGGCAGTTTGTGCTTGCTTATTTTGCATAAGGCTATTTCAAGAAGCTAGGTGTTCAGTATATATGGGTTTCTATACAGGATATGCTAATTTGAAGATAAGTAACAAGGGCATGACTTCCATACCCCAACAATGCAAATCCAATCCTTCTCAGTCTGTGATTTTAAAGAATCTCTTTAGGCACAAAGGCCATAAACTTGTTACTGAAGAAAATAACAATGACTGGGTTTACACAACATAACCAGCACACAAGACTGAGTTCGGGTTGTTGCTGAACCATAGTTTGTTTTTTGAAATGTGACTTATGTTTGAACCTAGCCATGATGATAAACCATGGTTCATTAACCATAAACCATGGTTTACTCCAAAAATAAACTATGGGTTCTCTTCATGAGTTGTTAATGGTTAACAAGCCATGGTTTAATACAACTGGGTTCAGACATTCAAATAACTTACACTTCAACTACAAACTACAGTCAGCTCATATACAACCTTGAGAGTTGTATAAATCCAGTCACTACATATAAGATACTGTTTTCCCCAGTTTTGTGATAATTCTTTAGAATATTATTATTGATCTCACTTCTATACCACTCAATAGCCAGAGCTCTCTTGGTGCTTAGTATGGCATATTCACAGCCCAGGCAGTGGCCCATTGCTGGGAGAGGAACTCCGAGGAGATGCCTGCCACTTATTGCTGGCCCAAGGATATTGCTGCCCCACCATGAGCTTGCCTGCAACTCAGGGTGCACGTACTGTGCCTTCTTTCTCCCAGTTCAAAAGGATAAAATGAAGGGATTCCTACAGCTATGAGTAAATGAAGTACAAGTCCCACAGAATGAAGTACAGTGAGTCCTAGCATGGAAGATAACTATGGCAATGTATCAAACTTGTGTGCAAGTGAAATCCAACTATTTTACCTGATACAATGTCATTAAAGACTTAAACCCTTAAAAGGCAATAAATTTGGATATTCCTGTCTTCATTTTCAGCTCCCCTCTGGTATACTCAGGCTTAAACCTTAGGATTAAGCAGGCTTAAGCCTAAATCTACTTGATGCAAGATCATCATAGAGGCTGTTGCAACTCTATCTACATGCCACCTCCCCTAATAAAACTGGTATCACAAGGGAGGCAACAGGTGGGATTTGTAGAAAAATGAAATAATTGTCTGGATTATGTATAATCAGCTAGACAAGGAACTGTACCATACAGACAGACGTTGAGGAAATGTACTCAGGTGATCGGGGCAGCAGGAAGAGAAAGGCAACTGAAATGATCAAGAGGTTGGCACAACTCCCCTATGAGGAAAGGTTACAACACCTGAAATTATTTAGCTTAGAATAAAAGGAAATAAGGGGAGACATGACAGAGGTGCACAGAATTATGCATGATGTACAGAAAGTGGTAAGAGATGGTGATGGACAGGGAGTGGTAAGAGACTCAGGACAATTAAAGGAAACACTTCACACTGCACATTGTTAAACTATAAAATTGACTTCCATAAAATGTCATGATGGCCACCAATTTGAGTGGCTATAAAAAGAGATGGGACACATTCCTGAAAGCTAAGGCCATCAATGACTACTAGTCCTGATGGTTATGCGCTCCTTTTAGCAGCAGAGGCAGGAGGCCTCTGAACCTCCGCTGCTGGGGAACATGGGTGAAAGAGTGCTGTTGTGCTCATGTCCCGCTTGTCAGCAGCTGCTTAGCCACTGCGTGAACAATGCACTGGACTAAATGGGCCACGGTCTGGTCCAGCAGGGTCTTATATTCACCTCATAGTACTAAGGTGAAGCCAGACCAAGTGAGGAAAAATGCACGCACCACAGGAAGGATCATTTTTACTTAATTTATTACTGTCTGAAATCCAGTGACACTGACACAGTTGCCACTGCCATCCTCTCTGCACATGGTTGGCAGCTGGCCATTCAACCTGTTTCATAAAATACAGTACTAGGAAGTGGACTGCTACACACATGCACCCACAGGTTAAAACTACAGTGATTCAATACTGCAACTGAAAATAGTACTGCCATAAAAAGAAAAAAATATCAAGTGTTCCCCAAGTCATAATTCTTTTTTAAACAGTTAATGCTGTTACAAATGCTACTGATGTGAGGACAAGGCAAGACACAAATAAGTCCTACATCTTCACTGCAGTATAAATATGGAAGAATTTTATACAGTTTACCCACATCTGACACTACGTTTCTTGCTACCCATTGCAGCTAAGGGAATACAGCATCTCTGCTTTGGAAAGTTTGGTGCCTGAGGCCTGCACCACGGAATGTCACTTAATCATCTTCTGTGCCACTTCCTGAGCGATCCTGAGAAAGAAAGAAAAATATTTTTATATAACACAATACTTTATACAAGTGTCCCCCAGCACCCATATATGCAATTTATCTTCACAACAAACCTGTGGGGTAGCTTAGACTGAGAAAGCATCACCCAGGAAGCTTCCCAGGTGAACAGCAGTCTCTAGTTCTAGTCCAACATAATATCCACTACACCACTAAAATGGATATAGTGACATGGGACCCGCCTCTTTGTTTGCCTACCTTAAAAGTAATGGTCTCTTTCCATTGCTCTCCACCCCCTTGACTATAATTGCACAGATTTCTTCTAGGACAGTGACAATAGTTCTGGGGATATAAAATTCTGCAGTTACCTCCTCTTGCTCTTCCTCACTATCATCATCACTAACTACTGGCTTGGCCCGTGAACCACGGCTGGTACGTCTGCGGCCCTTCATCCGGTCTTGTGCTTTCTCCTTTCTGCCCAATTTAATCTTCACTTTGACAGACCGAGCTGAAGGGAAAAACAACGAGAAAATGATGAGTATTTGGCCTGGAGGCAGCTTTCTTGTTCTCCCTTAGCACAGCCAAACCGCAACAGAAGGACAGAGTCAGTCTCACAAAGGACATCTTTTCACCAAGACAGAACTCAGGGGTAGCAATGCAGCAGCAGCAGCAGCACATATACGTTTGCCAACTGCCGCCTCCTCCTCCTCAAGAAAGCTCTTGACTATGTCATCTGAACTTCACTGCTTTTTTGTTCAGAAAGCATTGGGGTCCCAATCTCCCTAGGTGGGTGAATGACCCTGAAAATCTACATTTCCACACTAAAATCTCCTTTTCTCATTAAAGAACATCAAGAAGTCATCTGTTCACACCCAGATCAAGGACAAAGCATGAGGCTTTCCTCATACATTTGGAGCTTGCCTCTATTCTGTGCACAATATCAAGTCAGTTTGATTGATAGTTTGATTGCCACTTTCAGACATTTTCTCTAGTCAAAATACCAAAGTCATCTTACTGAAACATCTGTCTTCACAAAAGAATAGAGGAGGAAGCAAGTGGAAAACTGCTTACACTCTGATTCAGATCCTTCTTCTTCTCCTTCCTCTTCCTCTTCACTCTCCTCACCATCACTGTCTTCCTCTTTTTCAATTTTCTGCCTCACACTGGTGAATACAGATTGCAGCACAATTGAATCTTCATAAATCTGTAGGGAACCACAAAAGGAGATGCACATGGAAAGTGAAAAGCCTTACTTCCTCACAACTTGTCATATGGTCACAGTGCTTTCATTTAGAGAGAGCTCTTTGGATTAATGCTAACAATATGTAGATTTACAGGGCGACTGAGCGTTCTAAAGACTTCACAAACATCCTTCCAACAAAATTTAAGGCAGGCAATATTGCAGAGGGCTAAGGGTATAGTTGGTCTAGGGCCATCAAATAAGTTTACGGCAACAGTAGCTTTCAAACTACTTTCTTACCAGCTATATTATGTTGATTCTTAACAGATAATGCATAACCGGCAACAACAGAATATTGAAAATGGTTTTTAATTTTGATATAACCAAGAGATAAGTAGAAATGGTTCCCCAAAATTACAGAGCAAACTTGAGTTTCACACAATTCTCCAGATAATATTTTCACACCACTTAAATCCAAGAAATCCCCACATAGTTTTGTGCAAGCTCAACACTTGCTACTTATACACTACTCAAGACATCATGGTTCCCAAATGGTATCACAGCAACCATTTGTAATAAGGAAGTATCTAACATCAAGTGTTGATAGCTCTGATTAGTTCCAGAAAGAGAGTTACGGTCCAGCTCACACCTCGTGGGGTCTTGGAGGGGACTTGCTTTTCAGGGCCAAGGACATGCAGGCAGGACCTGACCCGCACATAGAGGATTGCTGGGGAAAGTCCTACCAGAGAGCCTTCAAGGTTGAAAGTCTGAGCATTCTGACACAGCAGCATGACATCCTTCTCCAGATCATTCAGGCTGCGGTATTTATGGTTCCGGATGCGCTCCTGAAAGAGGAAGAAAGGGCACATGACTGATCCCACTTGCTTACTTGCCACCCATGTTTGAAGAAGTCTACTTTCCTGCTTGGATTCTGCTTGAACATGTAACTCCATGTTTTCAGCACTTCACATAGAAACAAAGCGACTCAGAAGGGGCTTCCTGGGCCAATTACAAGTAGCCTGACCTCCAGGTGCAAGCTGGCTCCACTTATGTAATCCCCAACATGTGGTTGTCCAATCTCTCCTTGAACACCCTCACTGATGGGGCCTCAACCACCTCTCTTGGAAACCCATTCCATATCCTCGGGGTTCTACTTGTCAGGAAGTACTTCCGGACATCCAGCCTGAAGCCTGGCCCCTTGAACTTCTCCCATTATAACCGTATCCTCCCAATCCCCCCCCCCCAAGATATCCTTCCAACCTGGTCTATCAGGTCCAAGGTCTCAGGCTGACCTAGTGGGCAATTCCTAGTTGTCCTTCCTAAACAGAGTTTGGGAGTGCTCCTCGACTCCGCAGCTTGGGAGTGCTCCTCGACCCAGAGCTTTCACTGGAAGCTCAGGTAACAGCAGTGGCGAGGAGCGCTTTCCTCCAGCTTCGGCTAATTCATCAGCTGCGCCCCTATCTGGAGAATGACTGCCTTGCGACAGTGACACATGCGTTGGTGACTTCCCGTTTGGACTTCTGTAACGCGCTCTACGTGGGGCTACCCTTGAAGACGGTCCGGATACTTCAATTGGTCCAAAATAGAGCTGCCAGGCTGCTGACGGGGACTGGACGTTATGTTCACATGACTCCAGTTCTCCGTCAGCTTCACTGGCTTCCCATTGAAGTCCGGGCCCAATTCAAGGTGTTGGTTATGACCTATAAAGCCCTAAACGGCTTGGGTCCTGGTTACCTGAAGGAGCGCTTACATCCTTATATGCCCAGCCGCCCCCTGAGATCGGCGGGAGAGGCCCTTCTCCGGGAGCCCTCCATGGAAGAAGTTAGGAGGGTGGTTACTCGGAGGAGGGCTTTCTCAGCGGTGGCGCCTAAGTTATGGAATGCGCTCCCCAGAGAGGTCCGCCTGGCGCCGTCGTTATTTGTTTTTCGGCGCCAGGCGAAGACCTTTTTATTTAAGCAGTATTTTAAATGTTAATATTATTGAATTTTATTTGGCCAGGGCGGCTTGTTTTATAGTGTATGTTTTATATTATATATTTGTATTTTATTGTATATATTTTAAAATGTTATTTTAATTTTTTGTTGTAAGCCGCCCCGAGGCTTCGGCGAATGGGGCGGCATAAAAATGTTTTAATAAATAAATAATAAATAAATATACCCTTCTATGTTAACATTCCAATCTTGCTTTTCATCTCACCACATTTCCGTAACCCCCACTGGGTTGTACCCATTCATCGCCAGGACAGCCTCAAACATTTCCTGCTTGTTTCCCATGCTCCTAGCACTGGTATATATACATCACAGCTCTTTCCTGCGAAAGCCATTCCCTGGCTCCCCTGACATCCTTCTTCCTCCCAGGCTTCCTGGCACAAGCAGGAACTCTCTGTGCAGTAGTCATGCCAGCCCCTGCTGTCCCTACATCACCCTGTCACTGAGACCCCGATCCTTTTCCTTCGCCAGTCCGATCATGATTAGTTTCAG